GCTCCGCTTGGGAGCACACCTGTACCCGGCCGACTGTTCCCTATCTAATTAACGGCAGATCATGGTCAGGACTCAGGTGGACCCTGGTGAATGTTTGGTTAAGATGAGGCCATTTTACACACAATTAAGTAGATATTACCATGTTTATACTACCTATTCGGTCAAATAACGAATTCAACAAGAAAATGGTTTGAAAAACGATCTTTATGATGTAATAATGTGAAAGTATTCCTCAATCAATACCAATAATTTAACATCAGTCCTTGAAAAACGAAAAGGTTGGCATCATGAGTAAGAAAACCAGATCAAACAAATATTTCACGCACTGAAAAGTTGATAAAAATTTTAAGCATGATTGGTTCTCAACAAAACGTGATAATGGTTCAACAGGAAGTAGTTATACTTACGCCAAATAGAAATAGATCCGGACCAAATTTACGGATTTATCTCAGTCTACAGTTATGTTCTAAATATATATTTCACAGTAAATAGAAAAATTCAGCCATCATGGATAATTTGATCTAGATTAAAACATTTTGAATTTTATGAAGAATTTATTTCATTTATCTTTTTTCGCCTTTTAATAAAATTACTGCTTATTTTTTTATGAGAGGATTAATATTATTTTTTCCTTAGCTCAATCAAACAATTTTTTTCTGAAGCATAAATTTTGGAAATACATATTCTTACTAACAACCAAACAGACCATCACCTATCTTAATATCTGTTTTATTGTGCGAGTTCGATGAAAACTGAGAATTTAAATGAATAAATTCTAACTTATTTGCGAAAAAAAACCCAGATATATTTTTTATTGTTATAGTATAGTAAAGCATGCATCTTTTCAACTTAAAATCATCTAGATGTATTGATTCAATATACATTAATTTTTCCTTTGTGACAAATGTCGCGACGCGCAAGGTATAGTTGCAAGTCCAAAATGTCGTTCACACACTTTTCTCCCTATGAGAATTTTGAAAATTTGGCAGGTATGCATTTAGTCCCTTTAATAAGTTATTTTACGTTTTATCTGTTAGAGAAACGACCCCGCTCAAATTAAACCATAGAATTATTTAGACTTCTTTTACTCCAAGATCTTCTTTCAGAAAATGCGAATGAACTTTCTTTAAATTTAGGTTGCAGTACATAATCCCCAGACTTCACAATTAAGAAAGTTAAGAAAACAAGTATTACTAGTGTAGAATATAACGGTTACCTCCCCTGTTGTAAAACATCCTTGTCACGTTACTGGTGTGAGATGTCGCATTATCATGCTCCAAAATGGACCAATTCTTTTGACACTGTAAAAACGGAACAGCGACGGATGATGAAACTTCGTCCCGATACCGAATAACATTTAAACTGCCACTGGCAATCACTAACCTTGTTTGATTGGACGGTTTTCACGAGAGGTACGGCCACTCTTTGGAGGGTCGGATGTAGGAATTACTCAGTCCCCTGTTTGCTGTCAAGCTTATCGCTATACCATCACTGAGATAGTCCAATGAAGGACAGCAAAATCAGAATGTTTGTAGAATGTAAAACATTGCCATAAAAGACATATTGTCTTTTGGCTTCACCCAAACCGTCTTACAACCTCTACACCAAACCGTCTTACAACCTCGCGTTACGTTGCACCGACTTGAAGCATGCCAATAGCCCTTTCCTTCTCGTCTTTCAAAAGACGGTGCATTGCGTTCATCTAGATAATTAACAACCAAACCAAAATCCAACTGAACATTAAGTGAAGTGAAGAAATTTGATTTGTTTTATTAGACAATCTTTGAATTTCACGCCTGACTGATTTCAATAAAACTTTTGGCAAATAATTAAGAAATTCTTACAAACCATATTGTATAATCAACCAACATTTTGTGTATGGCAATGTAACTTGACAACCTGCTTTTATCTATATGTTTTAAGGTCCGAATAATTAACTTTGACCCCTACATCACAAGAGAAACAATCCTTTGTCCTCACATCAACTCGAAAGATACACAGGATTCTTTTAAGGAAATATTGATGAAATCAAGATGGTTATTGTTTCGATCCGAGAATTCTTGTAAGGACATGCACTTCATACTAGTTACATGGTTTCCTTGTTATTTTAAGAACTGCATACAAAGACATTATTGATTGTATAATTAACCAAGAAAAAGGCCCACTTGTGGTGAAATTTCATGTATGTTGTACAATATAATGAAAATTGTAAGGAACCTCTGAAATATCAACTCATTAAGCCAAATGAGTCAGATAATAAATGGCTCAATTCATATTTTCATGTTTATTTCACATTCGCTATTATATATTAAATTTGTACACCAACATTGTTGTTCTAAAAACATAACATAAACAAATATGATTTTCTTGAAAAATTAATATATGTATAAGCAAGAGATCACAGGGAAATCTCGCCTCCCACCTGTTTGGATCCTTTTTATTCAATATGCACAACAGGGGACCTATGAGATCTTGGAATGATCCATCCAGAAGCTCCAACTGAGAATATCCCCATGATGGACGTAAATCAATATATGTATAGTTTTCTCGATTATCCCCATTATTGAAGATTTTTTTAAAGTAAAGATCCATTGAATTGTCTCCCTTCCCTTGATCAATCCAAAACTTGACAATGCACAATTAGAATCAAAGAAAAATCTCTATACAAGATTGGGTAATATTCTATTGAGTACTTCTCAGTAAGTTAGCAATAACAAACTTTATCTATCAAAGACCTCCATTTTCTGACACTTTCAAAATATCAAAAAAAATATACACAACTTTATGGAATCTACATATGAATTTGATTAAGACTCGTCCAGTACTGTGTAAAGAAAAAGGGGTTTCATGATTCAAAATGTCCAACATCTGATCATAGTGGACTACAAATGCTAACGATAAGCAAACCACAAGCAACAAGTTTGAAAAGATATTATGTAAATCACCTTACTCATGCCTTTCAAGGAAAAAAAAAAACAAAAAACAAAAAAGAAAGGAAAAATTAAATTCTACAAAAAACAAATAAGGATTGAAATGAAAAATAGATTTTAATAAACGAGAACATTCAAAACCTGAAAGTATAAAATCCTTTACTGCCCAGCCCGTTCTTTGTGATTCATTGTTTTATTTTTACAAACATCAGTAACTATTTCACTGAACAACTGATCTCACACTTGTTATAATCATTAGAGTAAAAATAAAATTTCTGATATACATGGAATGTGAGCCTCTCATAATGATAATTACCAATACATATTTCACAAAATGATGAGCTAGGAAATTTGTCTATGAAAAAATTATTATTGAACGCGATTAAATGTGATGGCTCAATTTTTGAAATTCTGGTATTACAGTAATGCAATCTGTATGTCAAATAATATTGGAACTGTTTTTAAAGATGGTGGCAAGCACAGCATCTTGAGGGTGAACTTTCAAATTTTTGAAAAAAAAATGTATTCATCATTAAAGTAATCATTAGGGGAGACACTGAGCCTATTTGTAAAAATACAAGGAAAAGGTGTTGAAGATGATGAAAGGCAGTGATCGGAAATCAAAGTAGATTTGTCTCCATTTATACTACATGCCCTTTGAATTAGACTCAAGAAGTCACTATTGATATAGTATTCTCAAATCTCCTAATTAATGAGTTACCATTGATACATCACTCCAACATCTTAGAATTTGACTCAAGGAGTCACCATTGATTCAGAACTCCCACATCTTAGAATTTGACTAAAGGAGTCACCATTGATAAGTTATCAAATATCTTCGAGTTCATCTTCTCCATTAAGGCTAATGATACCATCAATTAAAGAACCTGGAATATTTCAAAGCTATACCTACAGATGTCACACCTGCCATCTTATTTCAAAACTATACCTATAGATGTTACACCTGTCATCTTATTTCAAAACTATACCTACAGATGTTACACCTGTCATCTTATTTCAAAGCTATACCTACAGATGTTACACCTGTCATCTTATTTCAAAGCTAAACCTACAGATGTCACACCTGTCATCTTATTTCAAAGCTATACCTACATATGTCACACCTGTCATCTTATTTCAAAGCTATACCTACAGATGTTACACCTGTCATCTTATTTCAAAGCTATACCTACAGATGTAACACCTGTCATCTTATTTCATAGCTATACCTACAGATGTCACACCTGTCATCTTATTTCAAAGCTATACCTACATATGTCACACCTGTCATCTTATTTCAAAGCTATACCTACAGATGTTACACCTGTCATCTTATTTCAAAGCTATACCTACAGATGTAACACCTGTCATCTTATTTCATAGCTATACCTACAGATGTCACACCTGTCAGATTCACACCTGTCATTTCAAAGCTATACCTACAGATGTCACACCTGGCATCATCTTATGTAACACCTGTCAAAGCTATACCTACAGATGTTACACCTGCTATACCTACAGATGTTACACCTGTCATCTTATTCCAAAGCTATACCTACAGATGTTACACCTGGCATCTTATTTCAAAGCTATACCTACAGATGTTACACCTGGCATCTTTAGAAATAAATATCATTCTCAGCACAAGATAAACTGTTGTAAAATTGACATTTAATATACTAACAAATTAATCAGCTCAAATGAACCATATCAAACGTCAGTCCATTTAGTAACTATCAACAGTCTGGTCAGGGAAATTTTCAAATCTTAACATAACATGTAGCAGCTTCTGCACCATGCATAATCTACATGTATTCGTCTTTGAATTTTGCAATGTTCAACTAAGTTAAATACTTTGTTGCCATATGAATTGTTATTATAAATTGTCAGGTGCCACTGCCAGAACAAAAGGACTGCAGGGCAGAACAATATACAGCCCTCCCATGTCGAAGAAATTTTCAGAGTTTCTTGAATAAAAATACATATATTAAAATGGTTTGCAAGAGATTTGAGGAAAACAAAAAAATCTAGCAAAGATTAAAATATTGGAAAAAAAATAATAAAGGACAGTAACTTATTAAAATATTGCTGAATCAAAATACTATCCATGAAAACACAATTTCATGTTGTGGTTTTCAAGTCTACCAAGAAATTGGTTGAAAACTATTGTTTAAACATACCACAAAAAGATCGAGAATTTCATCTGATACGATCATGATCATATGTAACAGACAGGTTCTTACAAGAGTCTACCAAACTTCTGGTAAAGCCAGAAACCTAAAGAAATAATCCATTCACAGTGAATATATAGTGTACTCTTCAACGTCACATACTCTTGATAACAAGACAGTACCATTTTGAAAGAGCTGTTACGTTATGCTTTTATCTAATAAAGTCTGCTTAAAGTACAGTAAGAAAGTCAGAAATAAAAAAAAAAAAGGCTCAGTATACCTCAATCTTGTTTCTCCTTCTGAATGGAAGATTTTTGCAGATTTCAAATGCAGCAAATAAAGGGAACATTTCTGATTGGTCAAGATTCAAACTCAAATCATTTGTGATGATGCAAGACTTGTTACATTGTTTAACACCTCTGCTGTGAAAATACATAAAGAGGACATTTGATTGTTTCCAGTTTAATGTATATATTTCACAAATATGACAGTAAAAAGAAAACTGTCATATGAGTGAATTGATCTTGCATACTGGACTATTTGGCAAGATGACACCGTTTTGGTTTGGCCACTTTGCATGGTTTTCAAAATTGTCAGCTGTTCCCTAGAGTAAGTCACCTATAACAATACCAAATAAAAGACACCATTGGAGATACACAAAAAAAACTGGAAGGAAAACCAACTTATTCAATCATTGACCCATTTACCTTTGAATGGGAAAATTTCAATGCAGTGACTAAAAAGTACTGCTCTGATTGGTTAAAAAATACAAATTGACATGATCTACCTTAGGTAATCAAAATTCATGAGGATCTTTTAATCTCTCAAAGTTTAACATGTACAATAGTAAGTGTGTTGTTAAGATTCATTCAGGTTCATTTGGGCAGAATATTTCACACTGACAAATGTATTTAGTTGTGTCCAAAGCTGCAGGTCCCACATCAATAGTGTTCGAATTATTTCAAATCTGTGATAAAAAATTTCCCTGGGCACAAAGATAAGGATTATTTCTTACATAAAAAGAAATCTGTCACAAGATACTAAACAATCCACTTTTGTAGAGCTACTTTTTCCTGTTTCCAGTCACGTTTTCTCTTATTTTGCTGTTTTGGTGAATCCATTGCCAGCATCAAATCATTGCTATTTAATGCCTCACGTAATTTCAGCAGTTCTCTCTTCATTTTTTGTATCACTAAAGGCTTCACATTTTTCGCTACATTCTGGTGACAACAATGTTTTAATTCTAGTGGAATCACCATTGCTGAACTGTTATGCTCACTTCCCGGTACTCGCCAGTAGCATCTGCCATCATACACAGAAATCCATTGTTCATGGAACTTAAAATTTATGTAGTAATCACAGAACCCTTTCAGTAGCTCGACTGCAAATAAAGCACAATAGTATTATAGATATGTATACAATGGCCAAAGAATTAGAGTGATTTCAAAGAAGAAATGTTTTCTACGACATGAACAAGGTCAAATCCACCTGTCAGCAGTAGAACATTAGTTCTTATTACACAAACAGTGGATGATTAAATATGACATTTTGATTACTACAGTCATCTTCATCAGATGAATGACCAGTGTGAAGAATACTAGCATTGATGTATGTAGAGCAGAGGAGATGTTACGAAATCAATCAACTTTTTCAGCTGTACTATAATTCTATGTACACTAAGGTAGAAAATAGAAGAAAAGATTTATACAAACAAGAGGCCAATAGGACCTGGTTTAATTTGCTGAAATTGATTAATTGACATGAAGATATATAAGGAAAAAAGTCGGGACTTGAAATTATTTTGACTCAAGTGATTTTGAGACTACGAGTTTCAACTGTATAGAACATATAGATGAGATAACCAACAATCATATATCTGTACACTTACCTAGTGATGAATCATTTACCACCAACTCTTTGGAAATGTCAGGTAATTTCCTTATTTTGTCTCTTCCTAAAAAATAAAGCACAGCTGGTAACCAACAGCAAAGGAACTAAGTATTCTTCAACACTTAGTAATTAGACATCATTAGACACTTCGAGTTCAGTCTTCTGTAATTGTCTGACACTATCAGAAATGTGAGGCAAGTCTACTGTAATAGTCAGACACTATCAGACACATGAGGTAAGTCTTCTGTAATAATCAGACACTAACAGACACATAAGGTAAGTCTTCTGTAATAATCAGACACTATCAGACACATGAGGTAAGTCTTCTGTAATAGTCAGACACTATCAGACACATGAGGTAAGTCTTCTGTAATAATCAGACACTATCAAAAATGTGAGGCAAGTCTACTGTAAAAGTCAGACAATATCAGACACATGAGGTAAGTCTTCTGTAATAGTCAGACACTATCAGACACATGAGGTAAGTCTTCTGTAATAGTCAGACACTATCAGACACATGAGGTAAGTCTTCTGTAATAGTCAGACACTATCAAACACATGAGGTAAGTCTTCTGTAATAGTCAGACACCACTATCAGACACATCAGGTAAGTCTTCTGTAATAGTCAGACACTACCAGACACATGAGGTAAGTCTTCTGTAATAGTCAGACAGTATCAGATACATGAGTTCAGTCTTCTGTAATAGTCAGACACTATCAGACACATGAGGTAAGTCTTCTGTAATAGTCAGACACTATCAGACACATGAGATAAGTCTTCTGTAATAATCAGACACTATCAGACACATGAGGTAAGTCTTCTGTAATAGTCAGACACTATCAGACACATGAGTTCAGTCTTCTGTAATAGTCAGACACTACCAGACACATGAGTTCAGTATTCTGTAATAGTCAGACACTATCAGACACATGAGGTAAGTCTTCTGTAATAGTCAGACACTATCAGACACATGAGGTAAGTCTTCTGTAATAGTCAGACACTATCAGACACATGACGTAAGTCTTCTGTAATAGTCAGACACTATCAGACACATGAGGTAAGTCTTCTGTAATAGTCAGACACTATCAGACACATGAGGTAAGTCTTCTATCAGACACATGAGGTAAGTCTTCTGTAATAGTCAGACACTATCAGACACATGAGTTCAGTCTTCTGTAGTAGTCAGACACTATAAGACACATGAGTTCAGTCTTCTGTAGTAGTCAGACACTATCAGACACATGGGTTCAGTCTTCTGTAATAGTCAGACATTATCAGACACATGAGGTAAGTCTTCTGTAATAGTCAGACACTATCAGACACGTTAGTTCAGTCTTCTGTAATAGCCAGACACTATCAGACACATCAGGTAAGTCTTCTGTAATAGTCAGACACTGTCAGACACATGAGTTCAGTCTTCTAAAATTGTCAGACACCATTAGTCATATGAGTGAAATTGTCAGTGAATTTCAATTAAGCAAAATATTATACTAATACCATCTGATCTGCTAATTGCTTTTGGCAATCAGATTACAAATACAACAAGTGAATACCTGGAAAAGAGTTGATATTGTCTGGAGTAGGAGAGACTGGTTCATCAAGATACCACTTATGATACAGATGTTTCGCTGCAGGAAGCGTTTTCCTTTGTTGTAAATAAAACAGTGTCAATAATGTCCAGGTGGTACCATGAGGTAAGGGGTTAAGTCCTTCTCTACACAGATCATTAGAAGATGCCCAAAATTTGATGATTCGCACGAGGGAGCAGAATCGATCATCCAATAAACTCATAGAATATAACATCTCGGAGTTGGCTGTAGGATCATTGTTCCTAGAAATAAAGGAATCTATTATAACACTTTATCACACTTTGAAAACCAAACTGATGTTCGGGTAGTGAAAAGACTGACAACAATTTAAGTAATGAACATACAATGTATATGAAGACCACATACAATGGTTAATTTCAAAATTTTACACCTTTGCAGTCTCTTCCAAAAAAAGTGCTAGCATTCACAAAGGAAACCTCTAAACAGAGAAATAAAGATTCAAACAAAATGTATCAATAAAGACTTATTTTTGATAAGTTAAAATGTCAATCACATGAACATAATTGGTAACCCTTCAATCCAGCATGTCATGAGCTGTTTATCAGCACCCTGGGCCTTTTGGTCACTTAAAAGAAGTCGGTTAAAGATTTTTTTTACATATTTGACACCTGCGACCTAGAAAGTATGTCAAGGTCAATAATATGAACAAAAATTGGTAGCCCTTCTTCCCAGCTAGCTACAGACCCATTTTCAGCAACTTGGGCCTTTTGGCTATTGAGAAGAAGTTTTTTAAAAGATTTTGACACATTTGACCCCTGTGACATGGAAAGTGGGTCAAGGTTATTCATGTAGCCCTTCATCCAATCAGGCTACATGCCCTATATCAGCACCCTGGGCCATTTGGTTATTGAGAAGAATTCCACATATTTGATCACTGTGAAGTTGAATTAGGATCAAGATCAATCCCTTGAACTAAAGGCCCATGGCCCCTAACAGCCATCACTTAAAGCACATTTGGTATTATTACAACTCCCTCATAAAATTTCAAATCAAATTTAGGTGAAATCTACCCTAGCATTAAAAAGGAGTAGTGTTTGAAGTAATATATTGTCTAACTTCCAATTCTGGGGACCTGCACCTAGGTCCCTAGGGGTTGAATCAAGTTTCTTAATTTAAGAAATAATTACCCACCAGCAATGATGTTTGGGACCAAATTTTGTTGAAATTAACCTTGACATGAAGAAGGAGCAGTGCTTTGATTAAAAAGTTATCTAACTTCCAATTTCAGGGCCCCAACCCCAGGTCCTTAGATGTTGCATCAACTTTCTGAATGTATGAAATGATTCCCCATTCCAACTGATATTTCAGACAAAACTTGAATGAAATACATTCAAGCATTAAGGGGAAGTAGTGTTTTGAAGCAAAATATTGTGGGCCCCACCCAAAGGTCACTAGAGTTTGAATCAACTTTCTGAATTTTAGAAATGATTCTTGACCCCTAATGATGTTTCGGTTCAAATCTGGTTGAAATATGCAAAAGACCAGCAAGTTGCAAGCCAATATGAAATTCAAGAACTATCCATCCATTTTCCTCTCCAGAATAAGTAAAAAAAAAAGAATTGTTAAAGGAAAGATGGATAACAGACAGCAGACAGAGAGCAATTCAAGCAGCCTTCCATCTGATAATGATGAGCTCAAAAGAATTGACTTGTATTTTTTCTGTTATGTGAAATTAAATTCACACATTTTATTATTCTATCACTAAAGAAATATTGTTCTATTAACATTACATGTAAAGTAAACTTGTAAACTCACTCTTGTCTAAAAGTTTCATGGATGGAAATGTCACAACTGATGTTTGAGGCAAGGTGTAGAACCTTGAGGATTGGCATTCTAGCATGGGGTAGATAAAGTTCCACGTGGAGTGATCTGACATTCCTCAGTTGTGTTGCGAGCTTGTAACACATATTTGTCTAGAAAAGAAAAACATGAAATGCTGAACCATAACAAGAGACTAATGGGCCTAAATTATCATCTGACTATAATGACCTACATAACAGCAGTAATGGTATTTAATCAATTAATTTAATTTTTGTAAAGTAAAAACCATAGAGTTAGGGAAACAGGTCGTAACTATCTAGAAATGGAAGTAATGAAATATTTCTTATCATAATTATTATAGTTTTACAATACTTAACACTTTGTTGTACACCATGAAAATATTCCACAGGTTATTTAATAACTTTTCTTTACACTTCACTATGTTCGGAGTCATTGATATACTGTAAACTTATTCATTTTAGAACAACCAAATTTTTAAGCAATATCAATTTTGAACATATCAACTCCACAATGAATTTTCAAATTTGCAATAATTAATATTTAAGCTATCAACTTCAGCACAAAAAGCACCAAAACAAGATTAGCATTAAAATGAAATTTTACAAACTTTATCAGAATTTTTAGGAGACATAATGAAAGTAGGCTATAAGCTTCTATGTCCATATCAATACTTAACTATACATGAAACAAGATATTGTTCATCAATACCTCCAGTGCTAATTCCTTGAATTAAATTAACCTCAACATCTTGTTTAATTTTCCAATGTCAATCTAGTAAAACTTCAAACTTTCTGACTGTAGTATCATTTAAGAAATATTGGGGCAATCTGTTCCACAAACTTAACATTTTGCGGCAGAAGAATACTTGTCACTTTTACATTTGTTTTGTCCACTTTAAATGACATTACGCTTCTGTCTGTACTTCACAAACAATTTTCTATTATCATACAGTTCATAAAGATGTTACTCTTCAATATTTTGAGAAAGAAAGGAATTAATTTCATGTTTTGCTGTTCTGAATGTTTTTTATACAGTGAAACATAATTGTTCGAGAAAAACATATTTCAGTACACTTAAAAAAATTAACATAAATCAAGTTCCTGGGTATACCAACTAAAGCAGAGATAGTATTATCCTTAAACTACGTTATCATTCTCTTGGATTTTTATTTTGGTTTGAAAACTCCACGCATAATCCTCTACCATGAAATTTAATATTAATATTACAAAGAAGTTTTTGTCTTTTGTCGAGGTGTAAGTAGATGTTATCATCAACAAACACGTTGAAATCATCTTTAATCTTCCCATTTTGGGTTGATATTTTCAGTCAAGCAACCAAACTCTTGTAAAATTCACCACTCTGAATCAGTACAATTCAGCATGACTTCAACTAAATACTGACTGACATGGTCCAGATTTGTCATACTGTCGTTTAAAAATTCCTAATGCAAAGATCCTTAGTTATTCCTACTACAAGGTTTGTAAGGATTAAGACTTTTAATAAATTGATGAAATTTGAAATCTAATTTCACAACTAATTCAAAATTGACATACCTGGTCAGTTAACAAAGTGATATCCAAATCAGCACCCTTAAGTCCGAGGTTAGTGACGGACGATCCATGTATATCTACTAAAAGCTGAGGGTAATTCTTCTTCAATGTCTTATGGACCTCATTGAAAACCATAAAGTAGAGGATATGATCACCAACTTCTTGTTTCAGTGAACTGTCTAGAATTTCCAGTTGTAGATTTACCTGAAAGGACAAGCTCTGTATTATTCATATTGACCAATGATAAAGTAAGACTTTGACATCATGTGGTTTTATTTCACATTATTTCACATTCAAAATATGCATATTCTTCAGACTATGCAAGCATTCACAGTGGTCTGTGTGCCGAAAGAGTAGAGATACCACTGACTTCCTAAATTATTGCATCACTGTAGGCTGAAATACGGCATGATGAAAAGTCATGGCTAAAACCCTTTAATATCAATAATCTCTGTTGAGCGCATTGCTAAACCTGGTAATACATGTATGCAAATATTAAAATTGAAACACCTTAAGCATAACATAAAATGAATGTGCTTCCACCACTGTGCTGAAAAGGAGTGAATTCACTTAAGTTGAAGAATCATTTCAGTCTATTTAATTCCTATAATGTTCCAAATCATTCACATTCCACTGGTATAAATGATTATAAATATTCAATCTAATCATTGGTTACATGCATCACCACTGCCACAACCAAGTATTTTAATCGTATGTAAGCATACTTGCTGTACTAATAATTTCCCAGTGATGGACATTAAAAAATCTTTAACTAGACTTTGTGGGTCTCATTCGACATCAGCATCATAAATTCTGGAGAATGAGCCTTGCTTCATCAGTTACACAAGTTATGTCCCAAAGTACATTCCTAAATATGAGTTATTCTTTAATTGCATTTTGCATTAAGTCAATAATGAAATGTAGGTCAAATTCTGTCTTTGTAACATAAATATAGGACAACAAACTTCAGCTCACTTCATTAGTCATGCAATATAATCTCTGTTGCTCTAACATAAAGTCTTCAAGATACAGCATGGACAAATCTGAATATGGTTCAAACAGATACAAAGTTCATGTATTAATTCATTGAAGGATAAACTTTATTTTTAGAAGTAGGGTACTTACATTTTTCATTTGCCTCAGACGCGTGAACACTCTATAATGAGGCAAATTTCCAACCTTTAGCAAACCAGTAAATCTGCCTTTCTTAGAAAGCCATTGGCATCCCATTTCGTTTCTACCTTTCAGTATCACATATGAGTTATTTTCCTGCCAGTAAAAAAGAATGTGATACAATGAAAGTTCACATAACAGTATGTAATACCAATTAATTATGTAATCTACAGTGAGTGTGTAGATGTGTGGGCTCCATCTCATAGCTCATTGTCATGTGTGATGTTGTCATTTTGTAATACTGGTTACCTTTTTTGAAATCTTCTTGAAAGGTAGAAGAGTAAGTATTGTAAAAATTATACTTTTAATATGATGTCTGTAGAAAATATTAAGATTCTCTCTACAAACTTTCAAGAATTTGGTGGTTTTTATTAACATTATGAAGGTTTCTACTTATTTGAAAAATAAAATCCATAGCATATACTGTATTCAAGATATGTGCCTCTTGGTTATTGAAAAAATCCAATTTAAAGACTTTGACATAATTGAATACTGTGACCTTGAAAAAGGAGTCAAGGTCTTTTATATTGACAACCTTGATAGCCAATGACCAGAGCTTACTAAATACAAAATATAAAGGCTCCAGACCTTGTGGATCTTGAGTTTTTCAAAGTTTGTTTCCTATAATAGCAATTTTCAAATTTGACCCCTATCGAGCACTGGAAGTTGAATTTACAGACAAGGTTTTATTAATGCATTCAACAGCAATCCATCACAGTAAGCTAATGACAAAAGATTCCTTACTATCCATAACCTGAAGCATGGCCACAGTATCAAACTCATTTTTATGGACTCAATATTTAACAACAGATACAAATAGTTTTCACTTAGTTTCTTTATATGCACAACAACTTATACTCACAAAAACTCTGTCCACATTTCTCAGTAATTTTTTGTCCACCTTACGGAGTTCACTATGTGATATTGCATATCGTTCCTCTGCAGTCATTATTCTGTTTTTAATCATTTCCCTATATGACATTTCATTTCCATGCATTTCTTTCGATATTTCCTTTTCCCGACATGGTTGTTGAATTTTGTTTGATATAGCAGTGTTTGTCTTTTGTTTTCCTTGTATGTCCACTTCATCTTTAACAACATCCTGTCTTTTTTTCCACACATCATTTTGGTGATTAGCTGTGAATGAAATGAAGAATGATGTACATAATATGTCATGTTAATTAGCGGAGGTATATTGTTCTATTTATATACTCTTTCTAGAAAATGTAAAATCAATCCCACAAAGCACACATATATACATGTACTCATTTATTTCCACATACAGTTGTTCTATAACATACAATAATAGTGCTCACCCTAAAATATATGACACAAGATGGCTTCAGGACACATTACTTACCACTAAATAGCTCCAACCATAACGAAATAACACCAAAAATTTTTATTTTTATTCAAACCACACTGAACTAAACCTAAACTGATCTTTCGTTGTTTAGTCGCTAGTCATTAAAATTAAGATTGTTACGTAAATACTATTTAATCGTTAAAAACAATGATTGTTTTCTGTTATCGTGAAACATTAACATGCATATTTAAAATTTAAAATTTGAATATATATAGAGTAATAACGATTTTATTGAAATATCAATAATCAGAAGAATTGTTTTTTAATATTTAAAAAAATCGCGATGTTGGGTATTGTACTCCGGACAAGGTAACTCCCGTCACTAACAGCAATATTATAGGTTAACTACGGCGAGACACTATTGACATTATCGCTAATGAAATCAGTCCGACTAAGATATCTCTAACAGGAGTCCCCTGTCCCCTAAAGGGCTGGCAGAAACAAGTAGTATATTTATCGGAATGCACAACCCGAGAATTACAAATGACACCCGTTCAAATCGAAGAGGTCTAGAAGCTTGCATACAGTATAGAACCGGTATAAGGGTAAGGTCAAGTAAGGCTTTGTAAGTGATACAACACTTGCTATGTAAGACACCAACCTGTTTTCAAATCATATGCACTAGAACTTTTAATCAACAGTGCCTTCATAGATGATCTTTTCCTTATAAACAGTTTGTTCAAATTGACAAGACCACTACACATGGTCGCTGCCATTTTGAATCGTACTAAATTTCTAATATAGAAATCTGAAATCGGATTCCAACTTTCCGGAAATGTTTCATCAAGTCGCTCTGTTGCAAGAGCTGTCTTGAAGCTCTGGGGCGTACACAGAGCTTTCTAGTAGCTGATTCCAGTCAATAATATTTTTGGACAAAATAGAATTAGTAAAAAAAGAAAAAAACACAATATATTTCATACATTCTCTTTATTATTAAGATATTTATATAACTAAGCCCGTGCAAAATGTATCAATAAATTTGAAAAAAAAAATCACACACACACACACACACACACACACACACACACACACACACACACACACACACACACACACACACACATAGTATACATTACACAAGTGCGATCTCTTATTGAGGAAACAGAGTATAAATTCCTTATCTGTTTTACAGTATAAAAGACTCTTTCAGTATGTATAATCCTTACAAAAGCACATCCTTGCTTTAAAGTGTACCCTCTTTGTTACTGGCTGGTGATATCTTATCAAATAAAATATAAACACGTTAATTTTATCATTTACTGCGTTTCAGTAATAATGAAAGACAGATTTAATAGAAAATGAAAAGGTATTAAGTAAATTTGCAGTTATTTATGTTCCAATCACTCGCAAATTAAAAACTAACCTTTCTAGTCCTTGGCAATTACCTTTTTATAACATGTAGTATCTGATCTACCGTAGACCGGAAAAATCAAGAAAATCCAATTTGCATATTTAAATAACTCATTTAAATATGTTGTACAATTTGGACATAGTGACGTTCAAATGTTCCATTTTGAGACAAAGACACTCCCACCTTCCTCCCTTAGGTGTATTTCTCATATTGTTTTTTCTGAAGTCGTATATGTTGATGTAGAGTAATTAGTATACATGATGCTGTTCCACTTAAAATTCAATGCAACAAATAAATGCAACCTATTTAGAGGTGTTCAAGTTTAAAAAACAACTACGTAGCAATATTTTCGCAAAAAATAAAAGGAAAAATAAAATTGAAACATGGGGAAAATTTTAATCTAATGGGTTCTGGTGTAGTGAATCTGTTTTACATACGTTCAATATACGTTACCTTTCTCATGATACACGATGAAAAAGAAAAGGTAACACATACATCTAATGCTCTTTTCACTCGCAAATTAAAAACTAACCTTTCTAGTCCTTGTGTATAACATTTTCTATAATATATAGTTTTTGATCAAGCGAAGACCGGAAAGATGGAGTAAAATCCAATTTTCATATTCAAATAACTCATTTAAATATGTTGTACAATTTGGACATATAGACGTTCTAAATGTCCTCTTTTGTGACAGACTCTCTCCCACCGTCCTCTCTTAAGTATTTTTCTCATATTGGTCTCATGAAATCGGCTATGTGGGTATAGCGTTATTAGCATACACGGTTCTGATTGACTTAAAATTCAATGCAACCTATAAAAGCAACCTATCAAAAGGTATTCACATTTAAAATAACCGGCTACGAAGCAACATTTTCGCAAAAAATTAAAAGGAAAAATCAAGCTAAAATATGGGGAGATTTTGAAGCTAATGGGTTCTGGTGTAGTGAATCTGTTTTACATGCGTTCAATATACGTTACCTTTCTCATGATACACAATGATATCATCTAAACATAGTTAAAAACAATTAGTTGAACGAGTGTGGAAACCGAATTTAATTGTCACAATTTACAAAATGGAATACTCGACATTACTTTGCTGTCTGATTCCGTTAATGTTCTCAAAGTGGCGTATTTTGAAAGGAATGGTTTCAAAACGAAGCCAAGTGTGATTTTCCTGGCAAGCCTGGGTTGTCACATGAACAAAGCCCTCAAAGGCAGTGTTCTCTTTCTCCCTATATTCCTAATCGCTGTTAAAAAGTGGAACGTGCTAAGTCCGTTACACAAGTTTGTGTCAAGAGGAAAATTGATTTTAAAACGATTTTCTTCAAATATCGAGTTTTTGTAGTATTGAACTTAGGGTGATGATTAAGCTATAAATAGCTCAAACATGCGTGTTACTGTAAAAAAAAATCTTAATTTAAATGTTATGTAATAGTAAGAACCGTAAGTAGAATTTGCTTGCTGTTGCTTTACGAAGTCAGATATAAACATTCTCTTATCTCTCTATTACACCAGGGATGTAAAACACGTCCTTGAAACTCATGCAATCACGCTATTTGTCCAATTTCGATTTATTAAGTGTTGTTAGATTGACCTGCACATGCAGTCGCTGGTCTCATCTAGTTGACAGTAATTCAAACTATGCGGAAAACTTGTTTGAAGTGAGTCAATATAACTTAAATTCCATTTCCATATATGGGCATTACCAACTTAAGAAAGTAGACTAAAATAGTCGATTAGGGTTTGATGTATTAACAATAAAGGATATCTTTGTTTATAATTAGTTGGTTTGTCACATCTATGATATAAGTTATGAAGCTTGACTGTAAGAAATTTTATATTCTTACCAGTTACTGTGTTTAAGACGATGTGTATCATATCATTTATCTATCGACTAGTTTATATTTTGTAAACAGAATTCGTAAATACCCATAATACACCTTTTGACGGAAGTAGAGTTTACAGGAAGTGAAGGATTCAAGATGGTAAGGGGAAAAGAAGAGATACTCTTTCGTTATTTATCAGTTCTATGATTTATCAATTTTGCTTTTCTTTTATTGTATGAATATTAATTTTATGTAATGTCTGCATTGTTTTCTCTTTTCAGTCTCAGATGACAGAAGATCAGTTGTCGGGTAAGTTCAACAAAGACCTTGGCTCATCCCTAGACGGGTGTGTCCGAAAATAGTGCGAAGCTTATTCATCAAAGGCTTATCTTTTTTTAAAGATATGAAGTCGTGATGCTATAGATTTGAAGCAAGTTTTCCGCTATTTCTTAATTAATAATGAGACGATTTTTATGAGAGTTTTCCCTCGGACCATAAGAGCTCGTCTTCATACTCAGAATTTTGATATGGAAACCTACAGTTAGCTACCTTCAGCTCAGGCTTCACTTACATGTACAAATCGATTATATGTGTAACACATGTCAATACTAAGTACAGTATACCGCTCGGCTAGTTAAAATTCTGTTTAGCTCGAGCAGTCGAGCATCATACTACAAAGCCAGAGGTCCAAGGTTCGAATCTTTGCGGATGCACTGAAGTAAATAATGATCACTAGATCTGTTGCATTGGCGCCCAAAGACATGGGAGTAATGCTTAGCATCCCTGTAACCCCAGGAAACTTGATGATGAGTCATATCTCAAAGGGGTATTTAACCATGGTAAAATTCCAGCTGCAATATACAGCTTGGAAAAGGAAAGCAAATCTTTTAACTCAATTGGTTAGGGTTAGTAAGCAGGAAGCCCCCAGTTTGAATCCTATGAGAGGCATTGAAATAAAGAAAACTGAAATACTTTCATGATTGATACAAGTGTGTTTGTCTTTAATACATATATACATATGCCATGAACCAATTATATCTTTTGATGACTTGTGGCATTTTATATAGTGCAGACAAGATATATAAAATGGGAACAAAACTCTGGTGGTATGATATCCAATAATATAGAAAACTGGTCTTATTACCATAATGAACATATATATTTTGTTTATTACTTTGAAGTATCTAGACAACGTTCAGTTAAGATGAAATATGTGTGTTTCTTTGATACAGAAATTCAAGAAACATTCAACATCTTTGATCAGAAGGGAGATGGAAAGATTGCTGCCTCACAACTAGGGGATGTTTTGAGGGCACTCGGTCAAAATCCAACAGAGCATGAAGTCAAGAAGTGTGGCTACAGCAGTAATCCAGGTACCACAATAATCCATGTAATGTGCACAATTTTTCTTTTTGGAGAAAATGAAAGGTCCAAAATTTTATTATTTTTCCCGTGGAAAAATCCAAGGTTTTGTGAGGCTGTGATTTTTGACTGTCGATTATAATATGATTATGTTTTGAAATACTCGCATGTTGAACTGCTAAGAAATTAACAGGTCTCATTTTTATCTTTATTTATTTTTCAAGTTTTTATTTAAAGTTGCTTATATTGTGGCTTTAAGTCCTTAACTATTTTTCAAACTGTCTTTTACAATTTATGCACATATTCAATAAACAATGTATTTTAACATGTTAAACATATATTTTTACTTAATATTCAAATATTTTTTTTTTTCATTTCTGATTCTTTTTTGTGCTTTTTGAGTTAGTTGTTTAGGAGAATTGAAGGAAAATTCACACCACGTCATTCTACAGAATGTTAGATTCTTTACAGATTTTGGTAAAAATTCATACAAAAAGTCATCTGTGAGAAAACATTAAACTAGTTTGTACTTACTTGAGAATCAAACATTCAAAGTCACCAATAATTTTGTCCACTTTTTAATTTAATCCCACAATGACACTGCATGGAAACATATCAGTGTAGTTTGTTTAGGTTATTCGGGGATGTCTATTGCTAATTTAATGCTTATGTTTACATTTTGTGTATCAAAATACGCCTTTTGTTTTCATTGATTTCAAAGTTTACAGACAACATTCAGTTTGTTGACCTAAAAGAACTATCTTTGAACAGCCTTTTGTACCAATCTTTCTGATAACACGGAATCAAAACCAACTATATAATTATATACACAGTATTCATTTATCCTTTGCTAAATAAAAATTTTTAATGATTTCATAAAAGAAAACCACAAGTATGACAAAGATTAGCATTAAGATCACATTTCAAACATACTTTTCTTGGTAGTATTTAAAAACGCACGAAATTCAAGCCCAGTTTGAAATTTGTTCCTATCACTGTGCATGCCAGAGACTATAACATTATCAGTGTATGATGAAAATTTATAAAGGTTACAGAGTTAGATACCATGGTAACTGTAAATATTCAAACACAAATGACTGTTTTATTTCAGATGCCAGGGTTTCATTTGAGGTTTTCATCCCTATCCTGCAGACCATCAGTAAGAACAGAGACCAAGCTACGCTAGAAGATTACATTGAGGGCCTGAAAATGTTTGATAAGGACCAGAATGGATTTATCTCATCTGCAGAGTTGCGTCATATACTTACCTCCCTTGGTAAGACATATAGAAAAGCAGATCAATAACCTAACAATTGTATATCCACTTGTTAACGCCCATCTGATCAATGATTTGAAGATGGAGTAGTATCCCAGTCCTGACTATCTGTATACAGATATGGACACAGTTACAACTCGTATTAAATTTACAGTATTTGCAGATTTCTGTATGGTCCTGTAGGTACAAGTTGCTTGAAAAAAAAAGATAGAGATTGTATTAGGACATGTCAAGATTAGAAAGGGAAAAATGAAGCTTGTAAAGAATTGCAAAATGCAAAACCGTCGGCTCTAGAAAAAAGACTGTAATAAGAAAAATATTCATGGGAAATTTATGAGTAAACGTGTGTGTGTAATTTCAAGTATTGACCATACCTCCTATAAAACTGAATTGATTCAGACTTGAAAGAGATGTTTAAAAATGAAAAAAAGGAAAAACATTTAGAATTTGCTTCAATTTTTTGGGTGTATGTCAGGTATGTCATGGTGTACAGGTGATAATTTTTTTCAATGTTATGGTGTACAGGTGACAGGATGACGGATGATGATTGTGATCAACTGTTTCAAGGGCAGGAGGATGCTCAGGGCAATGTCAACTATGAAGGTAAGACCAGTGATTATTTTATTGAAATAACCTCTACCATGTTAAAACAGTTAAAAAATGGACTCTGAATCATTGTTAAAAAAAACTTTAGACACACTCATTATAAAAGCCTACACTGGACACTGAAACACTGTATAAGCAATACAAGATATTTTCAAACTGTAAAAATTTTTAAAAATTTTTAAACAGAGGACACTGGCTTGTTATAACATCCTACTCAGGACACTTAAACACTCTAAAACCAACATAGGATAATGATGGTTACTATGGAATTTTCTCAAAACTCTCAGTACCAAACTGATTTTCATATTGGTTTTATTTAAAAAAAAAAAAAAAAAATATGGATGCCCGTGGCCATAATGAGTGTTGTAGGGAAAAGTTTGTTATTGCTATTTCTCAAAAATTCTTATAGCTCAAGGTGGTGTTTTCCCATTTAAAGAGTCATTAGTTAATTTTAATTAAATATTTAGCTTAATTCGTTTTTCAAAAATGGTTACCCTGGCATCCATTTTGTGTTTGCTATGTATTAGAAGTGTAAATTATTTGAGACCATATGTAGTATCCTATCTGTTTGGATCAGCAAACTTGGTCAGTGAGTACATCCTGGGAGGTTGGAGTTTTTTCAATTGAAAAGTAGGTCATTCTGACCTATATTTTGAATTTTGACCTTGTTTATAGAAAAAGTTTTCTTTTTTTTTGCTCCTATCATGATTCTATGACATTTAAGGTCACTGTGACCGATATTTGATTCTTTGACCCTGTTTAAATGAAAAGGTTGTTGTGCACTTATTTCCATTCCTATTCATGTAGGGTCATCAGATGTGATATATAGGAGCATCCTTGTAAGAGGGGCTGTTCTGTGCATAAACAAGGTCATTGTGACCTATATTTTCACTCCAAATTCTATTCAAAGAAAAAACAAGTCTTTAGCAGATCTCCTATCCTGTTTCTTACTGGATCAATAAACTTTTTATCGAGGAATGTCTTATGCAGATGGAGTGCTGTACCACATACCAAGGTCAATGAGAATCGTGATATGACCTTTGATCTAGTCACATGTCAAACTTTTTTCTCAGCATATAATTCGTAGTTTCAAACATGATTACCGAATTTAATATCGAGGAACATCTTCAGCATGAGGAGTGTTTAGGAACATAATAATGTCAAATGGGCTGTGCTCATTTTGAATCGAGGGGGTCAGGTGGCCAATATTAAAAGCTTCACTGTACAATAATCATATCTGTCTCCATGGTGGGTGCCAAATTTTCCCCTCGGATCACTTGTTATGTTATAGCTCTACAGTAATGTCATTGATATTGCATCAAACATAATAAGAAAACGATATTCCGCTAAAGCAGACTAAATTTGTGTCACAGACGAGAGATTTGATAAAGACTTGGTATCTTTTTGTTGTTATTTTAGATTTCATCAAGATGGTGATGAACTGCTGAAGATAACAATATGTTTTCCCTGACAAGTCATTCCAGAGATGACCCATCTGAATTCCTGGTGTAGAACTGTCTGACAAGCCAGAGGAGCAGCAGGGTTGGCAGAATGTTTTTAAAGATGCTTATTAGTAGGAATGGACTACACAAAATAGGAAATGACAGGAAGCGAGGGCATGCCTACCAACATATATAACATCATATCTGACTTGCATTTCCAGTTTGAAGATCTGACAATAGTGAATACAATTTGGTTGAAGAATTTTTAGGAATGAATTGAATTTCGGAATCTCTATGATTAGTAATGTCAGAAAAAGAGAAACCTTTATTGAGAAAAAACACCCAACTTTTATTTTGTTGAAGGTTAACACTGTGTAGTTATATATTTACTATGTCCAGGATCCTTTGTTAGTGGAACACAAGACTTTTTTTCTCCATCAAAATTTTCCCAATATTCTAATCAATTTTATAGTACAATTCTATTAACATTATCTGGTAACACGACATTAAAAAAGGTTGATTCTGGGATACGTTGGTAGAAAGCTGCCACTTCATTCATGTGAATGCCCTTAAAGCTACTCAAAGTCACTGATATCCAGTTAAATTTGAAGCCTGTCAGCCCATACGTTACATACTTGACCATTATGTTAAGATATATTAGAAGCTTGTTATTATAATTTTTTTTTCATTCCGTTAGGCCACGCCAACATCTTAGATTTGCTTCTCATATTCACCCAAACTTTTAGTTTTTTTACTCGTTACAACAAGGTGTAAATATTACATGACCACAATTTTTTAAGTGTTGAAATGAGATGTGCTACATTGTCGCCCATAGCCTCTGTATTACATGCTTTGTTATCATAACTAATATGTATTCTCTTTTTTTGAGATATGTTTTAAAATCTTGTGATGATTTCAGAAATTAATGATCAGAATTCCTGTAGAGAATCTGATAAGTTCTGGTGAAAGAGTTCTAAACAAAATGTACATTTGTTGTAATGAAACATATATAACAGATGTATTTATACAGGATGGGTGAACAACACTATTAATAAACAAATATTTAATATCATTTAATAAAAATATAAGCTTTAAAAATGTTTTGATTTTATTTCTGTGTAACTGAAAAGTTAAATCGACATCAGATCTTGGTGTGAATTCTTCAGGCCATCGGAGACATTCTGTTGACCTCCAGGCTGTCATTCAAGCTGGGCTATGAAAGTCAAGTTTAAAGATTATCAACATTGTATAAATGCCAGGTTGTGGCATTCAGTATGTGTTATTTCAAGAGCCAATACAGAATTAAAGTATGATAACTGTACTTTAGCCATGGTTGATATTTAACACATCATCAATTTTAAGGAAATGAGGACAGCAATACATTGCCCTATTCACATTAATTGCTGTAATAGCAGGGAAAAGTACCTTTCCAAGCAGATGGTCTTAGAGGTCATCAGGATGTACTGCAGCAGGATATGTCAATAACCTTTTCACCATCTCATCACACTATTTTCTGTATTAGTGTACAAAGCAATATAGTACAGCCGAAAAAAGCTGGTCAACCCGGTCAGATCTTGTACACTTCATACATCAGTGCTAGTGCACTTCACTTTAGTCTACTGTCTGATGAAGGTGACAGTGAAGTTACCGGTGTATGCTAAACAGAATCTTACCCTTATGTCCGTTTATTATGAATTTGATGAAATTTGTGAAACAATTTTATATGTTTAGATGTAATTTGTTTAGTAAATTCTATATCACAAACATAATATAGACAGTAAACAATGATGACAGTACATTATGTAGACTGTAAACAATGATGACAGTACATTATGTAGACAGTAAACAATGATGACAGTACATTATGTAGACTGTAAACAATGATGACAGTACATTATGTAGACAGTAAACAATGATGACAGTACATTATGTAGACAGTAAACAATGATGACAGTACATTATGTAGACAGTAAACAATGATGACAGTACATTATGTAGACAGTAAACAATGATGACAGTACATTATGTAGACTGTAAACAATGATGACAGTACATTATGTAGACAGTAAACAATGATGACAGTACATTATGTAGACAGTAAACAATGATGACAGTACATTATGTAAACAGAATACAATGATGACAGTACATTATGTAGACAGAAAACAATGATGTCAGTACATTATGTAGACAGTAAACAATGATGACAGTTAATTATGTAGACAGAAAACAATGATGTCAGTACATTATGTAGACAGTAAACAATGATGACAGTACATTATGTAGAAAGTAAACAATGATGTCAGTACATTATGTAGACAGTAAACAATGATGACAGTACATTATGTAGACAGTAAACAATGTCTGGAGTTAATACAAACTTCTTTGAAGAAAATACATTGATATGCAGAATTAAAATATCTTGATGAGTTTACAGAATCACAATTCCTAAAAAGAACAATCAAATTATGTCTTGAAATCAAGTAGTTAAATTTCACAATGTCAACTTTCATGCACTGCTTAGTTTTACGTTTAAAGTTGTGTTTTAAATGGAAAGATATATTAATACTAGCAGTACAACCATCATGATCACTAACACATCTGACTGTATTACCCAACAAGGAATTGATATATAAAATAGTACAGTAGATCTGGTGGGTCTGTCTACTGTAATGGTACATCCTGTCAACTGTGAGGGTCATTTAAGGACATGCCAGTTTTGTATCTAGTGGTTCCTAAGCATGTAGGGTCACTAATAACATTGAATAATGAAAAAGATTTGGCTACGTCAGTGAGAACATGATTGGGTAAAACGGTCCACATTCAAATCTCCTGGCATTGTTACATTAGGTGAAATATATAAGATTACTGACAGAGGACCAGAGAATTTCCCAGATTGCTTCAAAAGAGAAAACGGCCTAAACTGAGTGTGGGAGACTAATTTTAATCCAAATTATTCCATCACCTGGAAATTCTAACATCGATTACACAAAGTAGAAAACCACTGCCTGCAAAAGCTGAAAAGGAGAGCGAAAACCTTCAAACTTTATATAGATTTTCATCTAGACAGGTCTCAGTTCAGCGATTGTCATTACTAACATTATCTTCCGAGTAATCCATGTTATATCTAACTCAGCTAATGTTTAAATGAAATATGGAGAGCTCAACAAGACCATCTATTTGATGATCGTACAGTAATAAAAGGTCTATTGAAATGACAAAATTTCTAAAACAAGGAGAAAAAAAGACAAATCCAAGCAAAATACCACTCTCTAACATAGATATATGAACAACTTTAAACGACAACCTTTGAAGAACTTTTAATGAAAGATGTTGATTGCTATTCTTTGATGCGTAAAGCAGTTACACATTATCTAATATAAAGCACACACTTGTAGCAGTAGCGTAAATCATTATTTTAAATTAAAAGGGCTAACAATGGTATAATTTAGCAAAACCTGAAAAAATAGACAAAAGTTGAAGTAACACTACCATTCACATTTACATGTAACACTGAAAAAGTCGTCGCAAGATAAAGTCACAAAGATGAAAATAATTTGTATTAGACAATGAAGTATGAATTTCAAAAATACCATACCATTGAAACAGTAGTTACAAAGAATTCAATGCCAAATATGATATAACATGAAAATATTTTGAAAATGAAAATTTCTTTTTTCGAGGGTAAGATACATATTAGCACACATGATGTTTATACTGTTAACAAAATAGCAAACGCTTATTAAATTCAACTTAACCATTAAAACAGATGAAAAAGAATGAAGATTTGATATTTGGTATGAATTACTAGTATTCACACACATTATGTTTCCAAGGTCTGTCATTCCCAACAAACATCATAATCTAGTGCTTGGTATACTATTCATCTGACACAATGCGCAGGGATTTGGCACTCAACCCACATTCCATATATATATGTATTAAAATTACTATGATACATTTTTATGGATGGTGGGTCGGGAATTCTTGTCAAATCCCTGTGACACAATCCTACAGATTTATCCATCACTCCTGTGCAGGTCTGTATACTCCTATAATATTAAACTTGAAATATGAGTGATCATACTTGTAAAGAACATTTGTATTAATAATTATGCAAGTGCAAAACATAGTCCAGGAGCAGAAATTCTACAAAACATGGATTTGAGCTTGTAAGTTTACCATGTACCGTACACAACACATGCAAATGATTTAAAATGTGATGGAGTTCATCACATTTAATTCATTTGATATTTAATTCTACTACTTGCACTTAGTTATATTTTATTCTATGTTTGCATAACGCATCTCTGTGTGCAAGAAATTCCATGAATGTGCGCGTGATATACATGTGTAGTTCTTATAAGGAAAAGTGAAATCGTAAAATGTAAGAAAAACACACCCAATCGTTATCCGACCCTGAAGGGACTCGAACCCTCAATCTTCGGCTCCGGAGGCCGACGCCTTATCCATTAGGCCACAGGGTCTCCAGCAAAAGCTGCGAGTTAAAAGACTTTATAAAACTGTGTCACCAAACCAACGATTAATACGCCGTCAAAACGAATTAATGTTCATGTTAGAAAGGAAATTTGATGCGATATCCTGTGTAAGATGAACCGTCCCTTCCACAAAATGCAACCGAAGAAATCAAAGGACCATTTCTAAGCAAACTAGCATAGGCCTAAGCAGAGACGTACCTAACGCTAACACTTGCTATACGTTTCTAGCCTAGGTTGCATTATGCAGTGTTTCTCCAAACATAAAATCATTGTCACGTGCTTATAAAATGAGAAAAAACACTCGGTCATTGTTTCGTCCGACCTCAACTTTGCCCGTCAAATTCCAAAACAAATCTTTTTAAAGTTCGAAACTCTGGCTACGCTCTAAGCCTATATACCGCATGTGTAACATGGTCGTCGCCTGCAGACGCAGTTCACTCAAAACGAACTTAGGTATGTAGTGACTTTGCATCCTAAATGCCTGATACATCCCGAAGTACGGATTGACAAGTGAGTTTTGTTTAGTATCTGAAAGTCCTTAATTGAGCTGTCGAAATGGGGTTGTTATCAGCTAAGAAATGGACATATAGAATAGGTTTCTCCTGGTCTGAGATATATACACGGTATCAGCCGGTGGTGGGGACACAAGCCTATAATATTTAGGCATATAAACAGAGACATATATGTCTCTGTTATAAATTACCAATTTATCCACCCATGATAACTATGGGATGTTAGGTACTTCTCTCAAAGCTCTCAGACAAGTACTCGAGCACCGGCAAATCCGGCTGTTAGGATTTGACTTTACAATTGTAATGGGAAGAAGTAATTTCTTATGGTTTCTTATGGCATTTTCCCCAACACAGGTCCTTAAAGGTCCTCTTCGTCGGACTCATTAGTGTAATCATATTTAAGACCGGTTGTGTCTAATACAAAATCCGCCTTTAAGTCATATAATACTTCTTGATCCTTCCAAAAGTGGTCCAGTCTATTCTTAAAGGCATTGATGCTACTGGCATTCACAACTCTTTCTGGTCGGCTGTTCCATAGTTTTGCGGTCCTCACACTGAAGCTGTGTTTCCCGATGTTAAGCCTGGATCTTTGCACATATGTCTTTTTTGAGTTCCCACGATCTAGCGCTCTCTGAACATTATCATTTTGCAATTTATGAAGTTTTCAGATTCCATATCATATTTTCCACTCAAGATCATGTACACTTCAATCATATCAGCTCAACTTTTTCCATAATCGGTTCTCCTATGTTAAGTTATTGTATCCTGGTAACTGCTTGGTTGCCCTTCTTTGAATTCCCTCTATGAGGTCCACGTGGTATGATTTGTACGGAAACCACACTGCGATAGCGTAATCAAGGTGTGTTCTCACAAATGTTTTATAAAGGGGATGAAGAATGACTCGTCTAAATGCTAGAAAATTCTTCATATCATGGCCGACATAGAGTTTTCCTTCAACCTTTTCAACAATGTGGTGCTCAAAAGTTAACTGGCTGTCGATTCTGACTCCGATGTCCTTTTCATGATCCACCTTCTCCAGATTTATGCCCTGTAGTGAATACTGGTATTCATCTTCTCCACCATTTTTCCCAATGTGCATTAAGTTGCACTTTTCAGGGTGGAATTTCAGTAACCATGTTTCACTCCACTTGGTTAGTTTGCGTATGTCATTCTGTAGTATGATGTTATCATCCCGTCTCTTATAACTCTATATCTCTTTGTGTCATCCGAAAACAGGAATACATTTGAGTTCACTATTTCTGGTAGATCACTGATGAATATCAGGAAAAGATTCAACCCCGGAACAGACCTCAGTGGAATTCCTGAAAGTACTTCATACCATTTAGATCCAGATCCATTTACCAACAATTGCGGTTTCCTCTCACTCAAGTAGTGTTCTATGCAGTTTGTGAGTTCTTCTCCTATGCCATGTGCTTTCAGTTTTCTAACTAATCTCTTAGGTGGGACAATAATGAAAAACACCTTCTGGGATTCGAACTAGCATCCAGACTGAGGCTTGTAAGGCAACCTGTACTCTAAACTTCTTCATTCTCTCTCCTTCACAAAGGCTTCGACCCTGAAGACAACGACCAAGGTTCAATATCTCCTTCGCTCTCTAGCTGGACATCTCGCCTATAAGGAAATTTCCACTACCTGAGGCTAGTAAGGCAACCTGACTCTCTACTTCTGCGCTGTCAAGATGTTTAAGACTTTTTTTAAGAATTTTTTACAGGACCGGACTGAATTGGGCAACAATTTACAGAATTTACAAAAATTAAGCATTAAATAATGTTTTTATCTATTTTGGACAAGCAAGACCAAAAGAAAATTTATAGGATCGGGCAGAATTGTTTGGGTAATGTGTAGAATTTGGACATTGAAATGTTCTTTGTGTAATTATTTTGATTTTGGATGACCATAGTTAAAATATTATGGTTTCATATATTGACAAAAAAACTGCAAAAAACTTTTTTTCATATAATGTACTGTGCCATGCAGTGTTTCTTCAAAAGACTTAAAGAAGATTTTCAGAATCGGGCGGGTTATGTGTAGAATTTGGGCATTGAATTGTTCTTAGTGTAATGATTTTGTTTATAAAGGTTAAATTATTTTGTTTATAAAGATTAATCAGAAGACAGAGAGGATTTTTGATGTTATAACAAAAACTGAAATCTTTAAAATCATCAAAAATTGAATGCACATTCAAAATGATTTAATTGGTTCTAGGAGAAAAAACTGATTTATGAGTTTTTCACATAGTCATAAATCTTTAAAATCATCAACAAATTGAACTTTTCTCTCTCTGTACATTCAAAATAATTTAATTGGTGTGACCTCAAGATGCATTTGCTGTACATCAAAGGATTAAATGATTTTTTTCATCATGTCCACAAGGTGTTGCACACGGAACCTTGAATTTTGCCATGACATATACCAGGGGAAGAGAGAGCGAAAGTGATTAAAACCCTGGAGTATCAAGGATGGTTTCTGGAATTAAACCCAATAAAGTTAGAAAAGAAACAACCTTGATTCATATTCAATATCTTGGGAGTCAATTTTTTTGAAACCTTCAAACATTTCCAGATTAAAAACCTTCAAAGAAACTATGATTTTTTTCCTCTAGTAGTGCTTAATTGTAGCCATGACCAACATGTTTCTGTGTTTTTCAATTAGTTTAACAACCATCATCAACAAATTTGTGTCTTGTTTGACATTTACGCTGTTTTCTGGCCTGAGATCTTAAAGACTTTGTCATAGTTTGTTATGCCACTCTTAAAACTTTCTATTATATTCTTTTGTTGTAGGTGAGTAATCATGGCGGCTTGGATGAGCAGCTTTTGGAGAATTATGAACAAAGGAATGAAGCTGAATAATCTGTGCTGTTTCAGAAGGCACTTACATAAGTTACAGATGTGTAGGAGAAATGAAGGGCTATTTAAATGTTTTCCTAGAAGCCAAAAGCCTCGCACCAGTGTTGGTTACACTGCACACTGGCAATGTTATTCACAGCAAAAACAAAGTAAAGAAAACAACCTTGCAAAAGGTTTAACATCAAAAAAACTAGCGAACTGTAAAATTAGGCCATATGCTGATGTGAATGGCGGTGTGAGGTACTTGAATCTGCAACTCTGGGGCCAGATGTCCATTTATGAACAGAATAGAGAGCTGATACAAGGACGGGATGAACTGGAAGTACAAAGCAATGCGTTGAGGAATTTCAAGCACTTATCCTATAATCAAGTGATGGATACGATTGGCTTATGTATAAAATGTTATGGATTTATATGTCATGATCTTTTAAAAGTTTTCTTGGAAACTGTTGACCATGACTTCAACAGAGAGTCTGATGTGTGGAATCCGCAATCTGTTTCTAAACTGATGTTTTGTGTATATTTGTATGGATACAACAAAGACAAAATATTTTTTGAGGTGGAAAAAATGTTTGAAAAGCAGTTTGAAGACTTTTCTGTGGTGGAGGCAACAGTATTGATGTGTACATTCAACAGGTGTGGAAAGAAGCTCAACTCTGATTTTGTCATCAACAAATTGTGGTCTCTCTTCTTCAGCCATTCAGAAACATTAATGGATCAGAGGCAATTGGGTAGTTTGTTACGACAAATGAGCCGATATACAGGTCACTTACACTCAATTGCAAAAGTTGAGGCATTGGGAAATTATGGATGCAGCCTACATCGTATTGAAGATATCATAACAGTAATAAAATGCCTCACTTCAGCTAGGTTTCATCATGCAAAATTCATGCATCATCTTACAGAAGAAATTGAAAAATTAGCCAAAAGAGGTGCTGATATTCGAGTAAAGACATTGGCATTACTATGTGAATTTGTTGCTAATTATGGAACACAGGAGTTGGCCACTAGGACACGGTGTTTTCACAATTTGTCGACGTTACTTGTATTAAGTACAGATGAATCTGCAATGTCAGCAAAATACTATCCTCTGTTCAAAGGTTCTGAAGATGGACAAAGACAATCTAATAGGATTGTGGTAAGGAGCTCAAATGATTCTCTCATGAGATTTGCCATAGCTATGGTGTTTGCTGGCAAGTTCCATGAAACTCTCCTCAGTCAACTCCTTGGTGAACCAGGTAAGGACACAAATTCAGCTGTTCGCTGTTATGATATCCTGATCTTTATATGGTGTATTAACTCACACTATGTCTGCGGTCCGTCAGCCGGATTTCGTACACCTTTCCATGCTATTGTAAAAAATGTTTGAGGTGCTTGTATAAAGACCACCAGCATCAAGTAGCAAAAGGTTTTGACCTGAGGAGCCAAAATACTGCATTATATAGTCTCCATCCAATGGGGCCTGAGGAGCGGGGCCAAAAGTGATCATATTGACTCAAATTTCAAAAATATTTCTTTTCAGCACTCAGATGTGGTAAAATGAAATGCTCTTCATAGATGGAAAGGTCTTTTAGATGCTTTACCAAATTGTGAATTTTATGGCCCAAGGATATCAAATTTCCCCCGGGAATGAGATAAAGTTTACTATAGTTAATATTACATTTTTGAGCATAGTTTGTTTAACTTCTGTTAGGTATATTACAATCTTGGCTAGAATTATAAGCACCTTCGGCTGATTGGCAGGGCTGAAAGAGATTGAATTATCTCAAAATTTAAAAAATCTTCTTTTCAACACCCAGATATGGTAGAATTAAATGTTCTTCATGGAAAGAGGAGTCTTACGGTGCTTTACATAAGTTGTGAATGGCAAGGGTCTCACGTTTTCCCCTGGGGTGGGGTGTAATGCTATTAATTCTTATAGGAAAAGTACATTTGAGGCAGAACTAGCAATTCAACCTACTTGCATTTTGCAGCATGGGATTTGAACCCCTGTCAAAGTATGTGCAGATCCTTGTATCACAAAAATATATTCTTCTGGTGCATGATTATGCAGGTATTGAAAATAAACATCATTTTAGCTAATTCAGCTTTTTCTACAGATCTTTACTAGTCATCAACAACTAAGCAGATTTTCATCAAATGTGGTCTGAATCATATGTGTAACAATTTGTGTACAATTTGTGGGTCTCCTGGAGTGAGAGGGATGGGGCCCAGTAGGGACAATAGAACATACTCTTTAGAAGCCTACTTCTCCTGTAAGAACATCTGGATATTGTCTAACTTTGTTGAAGCATTCTTGATTGAAGATGATTCAGTTTTGTATGAACGATGGGTATTGCCTCCCTGGGACAGAAGGGACAGAAGGGACAGAGCCCAGTAGGAGAAATAGAGCAAATAATTTAAAATCCTACTGCTACATACAAATTTGGTCTGAAGCATTATTGGGTTAAAGGACTCCATTTTGCATACATTATGCGTCTTGACCTCCTAGGACGGAACGGGTATGGCCCGGTTATGGAAATTTAGGAGATTTTTAGCTTACATGGCCCAAAGGGGAAACTGAGTTTTTCCATGTTGCGGTGTCCTTTTGTCTTGTGTCTGTCTGCTTGGCGTCAATTTTTCAGTTGAACAATTTCTTCACAATAACCAACTGACCAAATGTCATGGTATTTGGCTATTGGGTTGCTGGGATGAAGCATGACAAAGTTCCCATAAAGAAAAGACCCTGACCCTTATTCAAAGTCCCAGGGGTCGAATTAGATAAAACCTTTTAAAGAATTCCTTCTGACAAACCAACAAGGTGCAAAAGCATGATATTTGCCTGAGAGGTTCTTAGGATGAAGCCTTACAAAGTTAGTCCCCCAAAGAATAAAATAAAATAAAAAGATGAATGTCCTTGACCTTTATTCATTGTGTATGAATTTTCAGTGTTTTTTGTATATCTATATACCACTCTGCCTTTATAAGAATGATTTTGAGTTTTCAGGACACCTGGCTTGAAAAGGAGAGTGATACTATTTATCTTCTAATCTTTTGAAGGGAGCAAGCGTGGAATATTTCCTAGCAACCTAGAGTTACTCCAGACCAGTATTGACATTGAGTGCCCCAGCTACAAAGGTAACCGACTGCCCAAGGTGAGAAACACTGATCAAGAGGAGCAAAGTAAACAGCTAGCTGTTCTATCAATATCCAGCATTAGTTTTGTGACAAACTAGTGTCAAGTGACTGATTTTAAACTGAATGACACACATTGTACCTTTGTATATGTATCAATGTCAATTCAGAATTAAGTCTTGACTCTTAAGTCTAAAATATCTTGTTAGTCCCCCATCGGAAATGGAGGGGATTTAAGATTTGTGATGTGTCTATCTGTCCTTCATCTATTGGTTATCTTGTCCTCTATACCTCTAAACACAAGAGCTTAATACTTGGGACATACGTTCACTCTAGTGAGAAGATGTGTCTTGTATCAAAAGTAGGTCACTTTCATTTTGACTGTGACCTTCATCAAAGAAAAGGCTTGTCCAGGCCCTTTCTCCTCCACTACCAGCCACTGGAACCTGGTATATGGTGAGGTGATGTGTTAATGATCAAAAGTAGGTCACTTTGACCTACATTTTGATTTTTGACCAACATCAGAGAAATATTTTATCAAGGCTCCATCTCCTAGAGAATTAGTCAAAGAAACTTCATGCTAAGAGTATGGTTTCACTTTGATGAGATAATGTGTTCTGTATCAAAAGTAGGTAACTCTGACCTATATTTTGATTTTTGAACATCATCAAAGGAAAAGGTTGTCACGGCTCCATCTCACACGTTGCTAGTTACAGGAATTTATACTTGGTGAATTGGTTGATTTTCAACTGTTTATGTCCACTCCATTTCACAGGGCAGGGGAGAAAATAATGTTACCAAAATGCATGTCTGCCATGTCCCAAATGTTTTTATTTTTACAGATTTTCACAATTTTTTTCCAATTTTAAACAAGAGTCAACTGTGACAATACCCCATATCAGTTTGTATTTCAGAGTTCTAAGGCAAAGGTCAAGGTCACCATTGATATTTAACAGAAAGATAACCACTCATTCTGTGACAATTATTGTGTTTATTTCTCAAAGGATTTTTGATAATTTTATTTCACTTGGTTGAAGGAACAGTGAGCTTATGCCATTTATTGGCAAGTCATCCATCATCTGTCTCTTCATCTGTCAACTTTTCCTACAAATCGCTGCTAGTCATGAACTACTGCAGGGAATCGACCAAATTTGGTTAGAAGCATCCTTAGGGGATGGGAACATATTTCATGTAGATGATGGGTCGTGGCCCCCAGGGCCTGACCTGAGCAGGCCAAAAGAGGAAATTTTGCAAGTTCTTTAAAATTCTACTCCTCCTGTGCGTTTAGGAATGATTGGATTTTGTGCAAGTTTAGTCTGTGCAAATTATTGTGAAAGGGAATCAAATTAAATCAAATTAATTCTGTATAAATAGTGGGTCTTGGCCCCATGGGAAAGGAGGTAGAGAAAAATCTTTAAAATCCTTCTTTAAGAGTGCCTGATTGTCCCAGTTAGGTCTGAAGCATGTTTGGGTGAAAGGGAATTTGTAGAAATGGTGAGTCTGTGCACCCTTGGGTGGAAAGGGCAAGGCCAAGGAGGGGAATATAATACATTCTTTAAAGTCCTTCTTTTTCTATAGAAATATCAGGATTCTGTCCTTCCTTGGTCTGAACCATACTTCGGTGAAGGGAAATGAGTTTTGTATATGTGTAAATTGTGTGTCTTCACCCTGTAGAATGGGGCCGAATTGTAGACATGGAGGAAATTCTCTAAAATCTTTCTTTCGTGGAAATACCTTGATTCTGTTCCCAGCATACATAGTTGGAAGGAACCTTATTTTGTATCAAGCAGGAATCTGACATCAGAAATGTTGATCATAATAGGGGAAATGTAAGTTCATAAAAATCCGTTTTCTGTACAAGGATATTGTCGGACAATTCTTAATTAATGAAAGGTAAATCTGACTTCTGTTTGACCTCAAAGCTGTGACCCAATAGACAAATAATTTCAGAAATCATTTGTCACATTTCAAATTTATTGCTAAATGACTGAATAGCTAAATTAGCCAGGCCAGCAGTGCAGGCCTTTGCGACCCCTTGTTTTCTGCTAACACAGACAGAAGACAGAATTCCTATCTTGATTGGTAATCAGTTACACACTGCAAACCAGGTTACTTAAAAGCATCAGAATGATACAGTATCCTTTTCCTCATCAGAAACAATAATCAAAACAATGATACAAATTATATCTAACATGCCTGTGATGTTATTTATTTTCAGTTAATGCGTAATTATGAGGGCTTTGAACCCCAGAGAGCTGGACCTCAAAAACAAATTCTGTTAAAGTTGCTCAAGGAATCAATAAGTAATATTGTGGATGAAAACGTCTTCCATTTTCACCATCTTCTGCCTTACGGAAATAAAGGTATGTTACAAAAACACCAAAGGGATGTAACTCTGGAAATGTTTGTTAGGAGAAAAACATGAACTGATCAGTTATCTTTGGGATGGCAGTTCTAGTAAAGGATAAGTTAAAAACTTTCACAAATTCTCTATGGCCTTAGTTTAGTGAAAAGTTATCAAAAGAGATGTTGGTCTTCACAAGACCCAGATACAGTAGAATCAAATATTCCTCAGGGATGGAAAGGCATTTTGGTGCTTTATCAAAATTCTGAATTTCAGTGAGACCCAGGATCTCAACATTCCTGCTAATGAGTTTGGTAATTTTTACTATTATATGGATGTAGTTAATTCATATGTAGGAAAGTTATTTTCAAGCATGGTTTCTTTAATTTCCATGGTTCAAAATATTTATATGGTATGTGAGTATGATTTTATGCACATATTTGCACTGGCTGATCCGCAGGCACCTGATGGGCAGGGTGAAAAGGGGGCTGAAATTACGAAAAGAAAAAACTCAAGAGGGTGAGGTAGAATCGATTACTCTTAATGAATAGAAAACGTCTTTATGTGAAGGCTATGAATGTATTGACCTATTAGTCTTGTATTGAAATGTATTATTGAGGCAGATGATGTTAATAAAAAAGTTAATCAAAATTATATGTAAATTGCTTATTTAAATACGTACAAAAATGCTATGAAATATAACATATCAGGTTGGAATATTCTTTTAATGGGTTTAACTACCATGTAGGCCTTACTGAGTTCTACTTGTGTTCGACTTTAACGCAGATATGCATAATGATACATGGTTAGAATGGAGAGTAGGTCACAGCTAAGGGCATGAATTTAATAAATAATAGAGAAGTATCGTCAGAATTGGTGAAAGATGTCTCAATCATTTTGATATTTAAGTAAAAATCATTTGCATTGTAGAATAAGACTTGTCTGATATGTAAGAAATTTCACATGGACATATATCAAGTGCATTATATATTTGCTGCAGTAAAGTCATTCAGTACAAGTCCTTTCTTATTCTATAGTTTTGGAAATAAGACTTGATGAGGAGAGGAGGCCCACACAGTTTGATCCAGTCCCTTATAGTGATCTCCCTAGCACTTTCAAGAATGAAAACACTGGGTATGTTCATAACTGAGATATTACCTTCTGTCCAATTTTATTAGCTGATCTGCCCGAAGTGCCAAGTGATCTATAGGTTTATTGCGACATCTGTCGTCTGTCCATAAACTTTTCCTAAAAATCGCAACTAGTCATGAATGATTGAGTGGATTTTGCCCATATTTGGTGAAAAGGGGCAATGACCAAAAGGGGGAAGTTATTTAAAACCCTACTCCTCTTGCAGGAATGATAGGATTTTGTCTAAATATGGTCTGAGGCATTCTTTGGTGAAGGGGAATCAAATTGTATAAATGGTGAGTTTGGGGGCCCCTTAGGATGGGAGGGACAGGGCCCAATAGTGGAAAAAGATCAAATTCTATAAAATTCTGCATCTTCCTAAGGAATAAAACTGGATGTTGCCCCGATTTGGTCGGTCTTGAGTTAAGGGGAATCAATTTTGTATAATCTGTTAATCTCCTTTTTTCTCTGGACGTCTGTTGTAGAGTTAATAAATTTCACTTGAAACATAATCGGGACAGTCTCATTCATTGTCAGGACATCTGTTATAATTGAAACATAGTCGGAACATCACGAATGAATCTCATTTTCGGCTTTTCCCTGACCATAGTACTTTGAACCTCCAAAAGTAAATACTACTTGTTGTGACATAGTTTATATCATGGGGACATGAGTTCATCCACAAAACCCAACCACATGGACTATTTCTAAACACATTTGTAAAAATCTTGCGACTGCAAAAGCCGTTCACTTTGCCGAAAGCAATAATGAACTTTTTCAGAACTTATTTTTTGTTGCTTGAATTGTTCAATAATTTTCTTTTCAAGTGAGATCTAATGATATAATTACTGGGTATATAAAAGTCTGTCTGTTTGTCTGTCTCTCTGTCTCTCTCTATATATCTATATATATCTATATATTTATATAGAGAAAATTAATCACTTAACATGACATGATATATATATATATCTATATATATATATAAAAGCAAAATATTACCATGATAAATAACATTCCAACTCAAAATCTCATTTTCAATCCTTGCGACATCTTCAGGTGATTGCATTGATGCCATAGGTATATATATATATATATATATATATATATATATATATATATATATATGCATGTGACAACTCCTTTGTTCTGACACTACAGACAGCAGATCAATACTTACCATGACATATGAACCTGAATGCAGGATATCCTTTACAATGTTCTGTTTCATCAGGATTGTCATCATACCACACAACATGAGGCAAACTACTTCCAATGGGGGCTCTCCATTAGGCATGCTGAAACTCCAGATACGACACTGTAAAAAGCTAGGATATCAGGTGATTGAGGTAGGTATTGATTTTTACATCAAAGTAAAGCACTGCTGCATAATAGTCTTACATGACAAAGCTTTAAAAAGATAAAATGATTTATGAAATCTTGCCAGAATAAAATATTACACAATGACTGAAGTTTTTCACTCCCTGCAGAATGAGAATAACATTGGTCTTATCTAGAGGGGAAAGATTCATTGGTGGTAAATATGGCTTACCAAGTGATTGCCACCCAAAAACAGAGATAGACTAGTGAGAGGCATATCTTTGATGGAATGAAGTGTGAGACATCACAGAGGACTAGTGAGAGGCATATCTGTGATGGAATGAAGTGAGAGACATAACTGTGATGAAATGAAGTGAGAGACATCACAGATATGGAATGAAGTGAGAGACATCACAGAGATGGAATGAAGTGAGAGACATCACAGAGATGGATTAGTGACAGGCAAATCTGTGATGGAATTAAGTGAGAGACATCACACAGATGGAATGAAGTGAGAGACACCACAGAGATGACAAGTGAGAGACATAACTCTGATGGAATGAAGTGTGAGACATCACAGAGATAAACTAGTGAGAGGCATATCTGTGATGGAATGAAGTGAGAGACATAACTGTGATGAAATGAAGTGAGAGACATCACAGAGATGAACTAGTGAGAGGCATATCTGTGATGGAATGAAGTGAGAGACATAACTGTGATGAAATGAAGTGGGAGACATCACAGAGATGAACTAGTGAGAGGCATATCTGTGATGGAATGAAGTGAGAGACATAACTGTGATGGAATGAAGTGAGTCTATAAACCTACTATTTATATAGAGAGATGGAGATTTTTCCATGGTTATACCCTGGGCATTGAATCTTAGTGATGTCAAAGTATAGAGTTTATGTATCTAGGAGTGTTCCAATCATCTATTGGTGGAGGACCCATGAGATTATAAGGAGACTGTTAGTAAAATATTAATGTTTTGGTATTAAGTATCTTGTATGGTGATTTTAGATTAAAATAGACTGCTACTGTATGGGCGGTCTGTGTTTTTTGATGGTATGTAGATGTTCTGTGATTCAGAGTCTGTTTTTTGCTTTTCCTGTGTGCTGTTTGTCTCCATACTAGATTGATAATTGAAAATTCTTAAAATGTTTTATTGCCATGAAATTTTATATTTCATTTTTCCACTTTAAGGTATATGAATTAGTTATTCTTTCATTTGTTGTCACAGGTGCAGACTCTTCCTTACAAGGATGCTCATAGTGAGAATGCTGTGCAGAATATGACTGAGATGTTGAGGAAGAAATTAGAGCTGGACTGTAATGTTGTCCTTGATGGGACAACCGCACCCACATAACAATGTCTGAACATCTATCAGTGTCGAAAAAAGAGATCGACAGCCCAGTTTATGGGTGTCTGTCCTTAATGCCATTTCTCTGATGTTGTTGGTGGATAACCATTTGTAATCGTTGTATTGGGACCTTGATTCAGTAGGTGTAGCAGACATCAGTCAAATGGCTGGTCGGGTGTTGCAGTGGTAACGCTCTCCCCTTTTACCTAACGGTCCGGGGTTCGATTCCTGAAATGGATGTGAAAAGGTATGGGGTCACCTGCCCGAACACGTGATTAATATAAGGTGGAAAAACTTGCTTCGCAATTGTTGTTAAATAAAGTTTATATATTAGGTAGTTGAAATCAGACAGAAAATGGCCCCTTTGTCATGCTTATTGTGTGGTGGACATCAGACAGACAATGGCCCCATGTCCTGTTTTATTGTGTGGTGGACATCAGACAGACGGCTACTTGTCCTACATTATCATGTAGTGGACATCAGACAGACAATGGCCCCTTGTCCTGTTTTATTGTGTGGTGGACATCAGACAGACGGCTACTTGTCCTAAATTATGTAGTTGACATCAGACAGGCTTATGTCCTACATGTGGACGTAAGACATTAGATTCTGGACATCAGACAGACTATGATCTTATCTGTAGCATCTTAGATAAAGGGTTGTCGTTATGTCGCTTCTTAAACACAAAACTCTCTCTTTGTAATTGCATGTGTCATATGGGTTTTGTAGACGATACCATTGGGGCAAGGGAGGTAACTTCATCATTTAAATCACTGTTCTTGGAGATACAGTGATAAATATATTTCTTTTTCTTCCCACTACTCATCAAGAACTACTACAACATGTCACAATAAGCTCATTTTAACTTCACAACTATTTGGAGTTTTATGGTGCAGAATTATACGTATTTCTATGCTTCTGTCGTGATATTTAAGAGTATTTTACAAAAAATCTTAATTTATTTTTAATATCTGTGTTTCATTTCTTAGTCAATAACAGTTATAGGGTGCTGATTTTTCTTTATGTTTTGAATTGTTCCTTGGGTGCAGAGAATGAAAGTGATTGAAACCCCAGGAGTATTGAGGATAGAGGTATAGATGACCTATTTTTGCATAATGCTTTTTTTTTCTAGCATAAGTAAAATTTTACTTCAAATTGGATCTCCTCCCATACGCTTGAACAAATTGCCACCAAATTTGGCACCAACCATCATTTGGGGAGGACAATTACAATCTTATAAATGACACTGATTCAACCACTGTTGACTTGGAGAGCAGGGCCTGTAATGAGAAACTCTTCAATTTTGCTTAAAATACTTTTCCTTGATAGATGTCTAAGTGAAATTCTACCAAATTTGGTTTGAAAATCACTAGGAGAGGGCAGTCATGATTTATAGATGATGTTGATTTGACCCCAGAGGACATGGGGGAAGGTTTCCAAATGGGAAACTCTTCAATTTTGCTTCAAATGTTATTTCTCCTTAATGCCTCAGTGGAATTCAACCAAATTAGGTCTGAAACGTACTGGAGTAGAAAAATCATAATTTTATAATGAAAGGTATTGTGGACCTAGGGGCTTGGGGATGAGACCATCATGGGAAATTAGGGAATATGCCTTTAAAATGCTTCCCCTCTGATATGCCTAGACAGACTTCAACCAATTACATGTCTGTCCTGAAACATCATTGGGGGAGGGAAATGATTTTCCAATGAGTGCTGAATTTTTTACCTTTAGTTTTGTATATCATTTGATATTTTGTGAAGCGCAGCTACATTCTCTGTGTATATTGGTCAGATGAATGTTAAAGCTTGTATGCTTCAGGTTTTGAAGTTCCTCATCACAGGCTTTAGCAACTGCATTCCTTTGAGGATTATGAAAGACCTTTAGACAAGTTCAAATTTCAGGTTCAAAGTTCAAGATTATAACTACTTTCAGATTTTTTTATTGGCATTCTCGTTGCGACGTGCTATCCATGAGAGATTTTGGTCAAACTTCACATTCTTGCCCATTTTCTTCTGTTGTTGAATTGTGAGAGGACCAGTGTCGGTTGCCTGACTAACCATAAACTTACTTTCTTTTATAGAAGTAAAGCTACGATACTTCATAGTACATGTTTTTGTTTGTCATATCAGTTAACATTTTTTACAATATCAAAATAATAGAATGTTGAAATTTTTTGTTGTTCATGTTTTTATTTTAAAATATAATTTTTTACTCGCCATGTTCATTATACACATAATTGACATCACCAATGTAAGCGTCTTCTGCTTCATTGACGACACCGCCATGTAAATCTTGGTAAATCCAAATAAGAAATGTCACATTCTCAAATGAGAACCAAGTATACAACAACAGAACCAACGGGCAATAACGAGCATCAATCACATCCAGCTTCATATCACAAAAAGAAATAGAATATTTCTCTATGAGATCAGTATGGCGACCATAAAACTTCCGCAAAAACCTGCATCTCCGTTAGTTAACGACTTCTTGCACAAAAATCTTGATGATGGGAATATGCCCATTAATATTGAATCTACTGTGATTTGTAAACACCAATTGTTGGGGATGTAGGGGTAGTTTGACGACCGTAAAGCTTCCCCATAATTAATGCATTTTATTGAATCAGAATGACGTTTCGGGCATGTTCTTTCTTTTTTGCAGACAATTAAATAATAAGTTGTTTGAGACTGCTGCCTTGATTACTAGAAGTAAAAGTGAATATGAAAGTACAAATCAATTCACAATAGTTGAAAATGTTATTGACTTTATTGCAAGAACACTTCAATCTACGACATTCCAGCGACAAAAGCATTTCCAGACTTCAGTGAACAACTACAGGACTTCAGTTAGGGAATTCGCAGGATTGATACATAGATAAGCCGGATGTTCCGTGGTGTACACATTTTCGTTAAATTACAAGGTAAAGCCTACAAAAATATCTAAACTTTCCAACACACTCCGCACTATACTCTGGAAAGATCCCTCTCTCCGCCCTCCCCGACAAGTGATTTCCCCGTGCTACCGCCTACAGCGGTTTATATCATTATCAATCTTGAAATTTAAGCTTTAGTTCTCTTATTTACGGGTTTGTTCTACAAAGAAAATCATTTTGATACACTAAGATAAATCATGATATGTTGTGAGTATTGTGATAATTGTTAGAACCCAATAGATTTTGCCAGTCCAGTCTGTAACCCAAGCAGAGTCAAATATATTGAGATGAGAGAGTGCAGAGGAGGACAACAAAGCAAATAGCAAGTTTAGAAAAATTGACCTATACTGTGAGGTTGAGGAAACTAGTACAGAAGAGACTTAATAGAAATATGCTAAAAATCAGGAACATTATGACAGAGCGGCAAGAAACATGATAATATACAAACTGAGGGATACAACATTAAGAAAACCAACAACTGGACTCTTTTTTTTCAGGAACGTAACACTACGTGAATCAGGAGACATAAGTTTACCTACTGAAATATAAATATCTGGAACTCTTTACCTGAAGAAATTGTAAACTGTTTTATCAACCGACTGGAGAGATATTGGACAAATCAGGACGTCTCGTATGACAATTGTAAAGGCAACCATTGGAACTGTCGGCATACCAATAAACTTTGCAAAATCAGAGGAGACTGGAAGAGAGTCCAATTAAGGCATGTTCCAAAAAAAATCATGAAGTATCATTAAGTAAGTATATCACCATATGCCTTTGAATATCGCAATATATTACAATATGAATACTGTTTGAAAAAAACCAAACAAACGAAAAAAGAAACAACAACAAAAAAAAAAAAAAGGGGGGGGGGGGGGGGGGGGGTAAGTTAAAAATGCATATGGAAGATAAACACCGTTCCCGGAAATAGAAAGTATAGACCCATTCGACGGCGCTTTGACCGCTGTTTAATCACATTGGTCATTTTAACATGCGCACGATGATAACATTGCACTTTTTGATACTAGATGCAATTCCTACTACATCGAATGTAGCGGAGTTCTGGGATCAACTAACTCAAAATATAACGTGTCCTTCTCGTATTTGTAAAAGACCGCTTTCCATTAAACAGTTTATTACTTCGACGGCAGTTTATGAAGAAATCATCAGATAGTCATTTTATGTGAATTATATATGGATAGGCCAAAGAACCTCTAAACAATTCCTTTTCCACCCGGGCTGACGATTTGCAGTTAGTTAGTGCTAATAGTCATGATCAGGTTGACGCTTACATTGAACGGAGATACTACTCAAGCGCCCAATTAACAGCGGTAACCTTGAACGGGTTGCAAAATGTCGGGGGCCTACACAAACCAGGACTATCTACCTAGTTTTGAAGAGTTGAAAGTGCCAGAGCTACCGATCTCGTCTTCTGCTCTTCGTGCAGCTAGTTTGTATATGGGCAAATACTGCGATGAACAATGCAAGGTATTTTTTTCAGTCAAAACTGATACAGAATCAGTGCAGTTGCATCTATAGCTTTAGAACGCAACGACACTGCTTCTCTCATCAAAATATACGTATACAGATTGGGAACATCCAAGTTTTGGGATTGATATTAAGGTTTAAAAAAGGCTGTCATACTGTCCCTTACCAGCTAGAGTATTACATAATCATATTATAAACAGAAACCATGGGAAGAGTATAACATTTGAAATTGAAATGCTGGTCATTAATTTAAGGCAAATTACTGACACCTGCCCGTCAGGTTTATGCATGTAATTCGTTTTCACTTGGTCTACTGTACATGACAGAACAATTTGGCTCATGACATCTTCTTTCGCTCCTATTTGTCAAATAATGAATACCTAAACAGCTGTCTAGCCTAACAAACTGCTTGAGCCATTATGCACATACAACTATTATCTATATAAACTATAGATTATCAGCTGTTCGCACTATGATGGATATTGTATAAATGAGGTCCTTTTCATATTCAATGAGGTCATTCTGTTTAGTTTGAATGGAATTCATGAGAATTACTTCAGTCCTTTTTAATTTCTTCACTTCAAACGGCTACAAAGACTGGCACTGCATTGCAAACTCTGATGATGTAACTATTGATTGTTCATATTACAAAACTGGTATACACAAATTATTCTGGTAGTATTGAGATGGACATACAGGAGTTATGTGTTGTATGTATGTCTTACAAAGCAGAAACACATGCATTGAGTGTCCCCTTCTGCTGTGACGCGTCAGCTGGTTATCCTTCTGCACGAATTAAGGGTGCAAATTTAACAGCGAGGATTGAATACAAATCCAACAGACATCTGAGAGAAAATATTTTTATGTGCAGTTGATTTTTAACATTAGATATCGTGATCAGAATTCCTATCTTTGCAGCGATGTGTGTGCTTTATATATGTTGTGATGTCTTTATATTTATTGATGTTGTCATGAAGGAATTAAGTACAGTTCTGAACTCTTAATGAATTCTTAATAGATTACCTAAAAATTAGGGTAAACAAGCGTTGACGTCATTCTGTAAAGTGTTTTGTGTTAGTGACAAGTCATCATTTTGCCTTTCGTTCAAGGGTAAATGTTCATGTAAGAACACTGCTATTGTTGTGGATACGGTAAAGGAAGACAACTCTGTTTATCTGTGCAGGCTTTCCTCAGTTAAACACGAGGTGTGATTTTGTGCTCCATTCTTGTAATTGTTTATGGATCTTATCACCTACAGATCCTTATATTTAAGCATGCAGACACACAATTACAATACAAACAGACTCTAATGCTCTAAAGAGTTTTATTTATGAATTTGTCCATGATATAATGTCTCGATGAATTAAAGACAAAATGAAGATAGCCTGATCCTTTTGGATAATCACCATAAATTAAATTTGATGACCACTTATTTCAATCTGTTCATTCTTATCCTGACCCCAGGAAGCCAAATCTGGCATTAATTTGAAACAATGTTTAGGACAGAATGATTTTGGAACTACATGTACATCATCATACTGTACAAAAATGAAATAAACGCCAGGCCAATTAAACAGCTGATTCTGACAATAAAATGTCACATTTTCAAAGAAATTTTATATTTTGTACATGTGTTGCATAAACCTAAAGACCAGATGAGATTTTATATATCACAGCGTCTGTCCATTATCTTCAATTTCAAATTATTACTGCTGTCACAAAGGGATGATGATGGGACTTGTGCAGTCCTAAATGAAATTCAAAACCATGGCCGTGTGACATTCAGTATGACTGTCCTTTCAAGATCTTAGAAAATATTTTCGTCACTTCTTCCACTTTAGAGTTAGTTATAGTTCATCGATATTTTCGTTTCTGAAAGTCAGACCTTTACCACATTCAAGATGGTTGCTATTGGCATCATCTTAAAAATATTGTTATTGCTACCATACTTCTAAATGTATGTACATCATGAGTGTCCAGAGTCTTTGTTAATCTTAATATTGATTATTTCTTATTTCAGGAATTTATGTTGTGTAATGAAGAGTTGAAGGACCCAGTTCGTTGTATGAATGAGGGCAAAGAAGTGACCCGATGTGGATACGAGTTCTTGAAAAAATTGCGATTGAACTGTAGAGAAGAATTCAATAACTATCACTCTTGTATAGATTTACGTGCTGGAAGGGATATGGATTTCAGCAAGTAAGTTAAATTTTATTTTTGATGAGATATCTTTAGCTCATGTCATCATTACATTGTTAAGTTTATATTTAGCTCTGAACTAGATATTACAGTGAACATGTATGCAACAGCTTGGTGTTTGTCCACTCTGCTAATGTATCTTCAGTTCATCTGATCCTAAAACGCACTATTGCTATGACTCTTTGTTCATTATGATTCAGTGCTTTAGTATCTTAAAAGTTGAAGATATTGGGTGTGTGGTTCGATCCATATCTGGGACTGTTTGTGTTTCTCAGGAGGTTCAGCTCACAGATAATGTGGTTATTGTGTTTTTAGGAAAGACACTACCCTTAATTTTTTTTTGGTAGTATGTAGTTGACCTCCAGTTGACCTCAAGAATCTTGCAGTGAATCTTTACCTCACCTCTGTAATCTTGGACTATTGGCAGAATTAAACAATACTATTAGTTGATATGGTTTGGTTGTAAACATTACTTTGGTAGTTTATGAAACTGGATATTCATGATCAATTGACCGACCTTTTACATGTTTTTATATGTTTTTAATATAAAGCGAAAATAAAGGATTCTCAACATCCAGGAACACTCGTAGTTTTATTATAGGCTAATTCGTCGACATGTTGCGACCGCTATGCGGCATCATCAGAACAAATTTACAGAATATAAAGAAGCATAAAGTATAGCTTTGTGGTAATAAAGATAATTATGACGTAATAATGGACAGACATAACAATTTTTATACTGACATACTTTTATTGTGAAAAAGTTTATAGAAAAAGTTCCAGATATTTTGTTGGATTGAGTATTGATACCATGGAGTGTCGGTTGATCTTCCCCTGAAGTGTCCGTCGGCGGTGTGTTAGTAGTTTCAGTTTCCATCCTTATTCGTTTTAGTGGATTTGTATCTTCAATATCCTCAGTGATATCGCTCCGTTATTTCATTGAGAAGTTCCCTTCGGCCATGATTTATAACGCCAGCGGGTTGGAGTGGATCCCTTACAGGGTGCGGGGGTTCTCCATCAACTCAAATTAAGAGAAAACAATGTTGAAGAACCAACACATTATTATATGTCTCAGCTAGCCGCAATCTGAGATTTTATATATATGTATATATATATATATATATATACATATACACAGGGTTTTCCATAAGAGCCAGTCGCCGGACAGTTTGATCGGCTACTTTGATCATTTGGCCGCCTACACCAATCCAATTCCGTAATAATGTTCCGTACATGACTACACGTACACGGCAGGCCACCCCCACCTCGCCGTGTTGCGGCTCGGGTCGGCTTGCTTCGCCAGCCTTCTACTTTCACTACACAGCCTACTACTAACAAAATTATGGAAAACCCTGTATATATATAATGTGTTGGTACTTCAACATTGTTTTCTCTAAATTTTTAATAGAAATTCACGGCAGGTTTCCATTCTCAGAATCTCCATGTGTATTGTGAATTATATAAAACAGAGATCTTGGGTGTAATGGATATATCATTAAAACTGTGAATGAGGAAGTGACTGTATAGATGCTAGCTAATACTAAAAACACATTATTTATTTCTAACTATACTTCTTTGTCCTTGGCTCCATGGATTGCTGTCAGCTCTTTTTCATGTACAAGTACTTGTGAGTAGGGAGGGTAGGAGGGTAGGGGTGGCAATTCTACCTACCAAGAGTTTACCCCTAGAGGTTATCCTTGGGGATGGGTATAATTAGCTGGCAAACAACAAATTTATCAGAACAAATGATCACCAATGGAGAGAATTAAGCTTAACAACAGCCTATCAGTCTATCAAACAAGGTGGTTGGTGAACACTACTGGTGGCTCCTAATTATATAACTGGCATTTAGTAACTTCCATTCAATGTGCTGATAAACCAATCCAATATGTATTGTGTACTTTGTATGCATCAGGCATGAGTTTTGTTTTTTGAAATGTCTGCGACAATGTATCCCTCTGAAAAATGACAACCAGGTCATGATGGTGTGGATTTTGTGTCTCTTGTAATACATGAAGATACATTTGTTAAATAATAACATTAAACACACCAGAGTGATGTGATTTCCCATAGAGACATGTACATGCATATTACGTTGCGATAACACATACCCACTTGACCTATGAAAATAACCTTATGTTACATTATCCACTTGAAACATGATGTCGTCATCGCTTGCATTAATTGGGTTTGTTCTTTTCACAGATGTAGGAGCAGTCAGCAGCCTTTAGATGACTGCTTGATGAGGACAATGAACTTAGAACGTCCAGATCCGGGCTACTTTATCGAACGTAGGTTTCACTCCTCCACCCGCCCCCCACCTCCAGACAGGAGAAGGCAGTATGAGAAACTGCCAGACTTAGCTGATCCAGCCAACATGCCTAAAGATCAGCAAAGATTGCCTGGAATGACGGAATAACTTTGACGTCTATGCCATACAATATAGATTTGGATGGGCTGGAACAGCCAGACTCTTGGGAACCAGATTCTTAAGAAAATATTCATTGACTTATAGTGAATGTTTTTCAGAGGAGTTTGTTATGTGTAAACTTGTTTGTAAATAAAAATGAAACTCATTTACTTCTACTTATTTTTATGATAAATTTCTTCGTACTCACTTTGTACGACAGCTGAAGTGATATCGGTGAACAGGGGACAAACACCGACCTTCTACTGCGTAGGTTTTCTCCAGGTGTCCTTCTGCATAAGACTTCAGGCATGTTTTAATCCAAGCCAGTGAGAGTGACAGATATAAATCATAGTTAACGTATTGAAACAATACTAATACCCGAAATAACAGAGCTTGCACTTTGGACATAAAACAAGGGTTCAATAACAGGTTATAAAGAGGTAAATTTTCCGGGGGGAAATTTTTATTGCAAAAGATGAAATCAAGATTCAACAGTTTGATACTTGCAGGTGCAAACATACTGAGTACATGGTACAGTTTCTTCAATTGTAGCTGTTTTCAATTTATGGCAATGAATGGACATATATACCAGCATATGAAAAGAATTATTGCAGCATATTGGATCTGGAAAAAAGTCAATATCATCAGATACAGGGCTGTTGGAATTGTCTTACATCGGTGGTTCCTTGTCTGTCCCTCATCCCTTCCTACACAATTCTTATCACCGATCTTTGAGGTCTTCAGGAACAATTACAACAAAATTACTTATGATATTACATATCTTATGGAATTAAGAAGGCTTTACCCTGAGACTATTAAAACTGTAGGCCATATTGGAGAAGTCAGAAAAAATATGTCTGTGTCTTCAGATTCAATATTTATAATATGAAAAACTGAAGTCTTCTTTTTCCAATGCGAACTTTTAAGGCTGTCTTGAAGAACTCCCTTTTCTTCCTCGGGTCTGGAGTCAGATCAGCTCAGATCAAATGCTGAGATCCATAGTCCTGTCTGTATCTACGGTTTGTCTAAGGACAAAGTATCTAAGTGTGATGCAGGCCAATTTCACGATGATCGGGTCTGTAGTGTGTTATCTCCCTTCCATCAATATCCTTAAGCAGAGTAATCTCTGAGTGTTCTGAACGATCATATCAAATCATCTGCTTTCGAATAAATATTACGTCATTGGCACGTAAAATCACGAACTTGTTGTTCGGTTGACAGCCCATCGTCACTGAGACCTTAAGTTAAGACATGAAATTTCTTCTTCTGTCCTCCTGTAACTTTGCTTGTCTTTCCAGAATCTGAATTCTGTGCACGAGCACGAACGTCTGCCCTCTTTAGGTTTTCTTCATGACGTAAATTTCATCAACCTTATCAGAACAGTAGTCGCAATTTGTCTTCATTTTGCTATTTTCACCAAACGTTTCTTATTTCTCTTCCACTTTTTAAAAATTCTGTTTGACAGTTTGTGCATGTCTTTGCAAAGTTCGTCAACCTTTTTCTCAACGGTAGCTATCTTGTCTAACAAGTTCTTTTCTATAATTTTTACCAGTTTTCCTCATTCTAGATGAATTACGGGTGCTTTGTCCTGTGTTGCCTTTGTCAGCCATTTTGATTTCAACTTCTGCTGACTTGGAAACAGCCCCTGTGAAAATGCTCTTGGGATTCTCTCACGCTGCTGCGGTTGTTTTTCACCTTACCTTGTAAGGGACATTCCTCGGATAGTATGAACAGGCTGTGCACAAAATGTGACCGCAGTGATGTTGATCGGGAGTCTTGTGTAATACAGTTGATAAGGATCAAGATTCTCTACTCACATGAAGATTTTTGCAGGGTTTTTCACCACCACGTACATTATATTAAGATTTGAGAACTGCTGTGATGCCTATATGACATTCCTATATTCACGATATTACAGAACAATTTTTTTTCAACCTTTTATATATATTTACCTGAATTGAAATAAAAACAAAAAAGGCTGTGGTGATATTAATGATAATATTCTTTCAAATATTAGTTTTACAACAAAAAATATTGAAAAAAATGTAAAACATGTTAAATATATACATCATAGACTTGAAAAAGTTACAAATCGTTGTGTTTTACATTGCAAAAGATATTAAGCTAAAGTGGCTTCATTTCAATATTACACATAGTATACTAGCCTCCAATAGTTAAAACAACAACATTTTCGATAAATACCTGTGTACATTTTGTAAACAAGCAGTGGAAGCTATTATAAATATCTTCAATGAATGCAAACAAGCTGAAAGGTCATGGAACTTACTTTAGAACTGGATATTTTCAAAAACAGCTGTGTTTATTAACTTTACGAAAGAAGATTTTCTTGTAAACATAGTAAACAATATCGAGCGCAAAACCTGTGTTAACAGTAAATCATTACATTTGCAACCAGCGAATGAAATGTGACATGCTATATACAGAAAGGTATATTAAAAATTCTATAATACTGAAAAAATATCTATCTACGTGTCATGGTTAACTTGTAACACTCAAACAAAAATTGAGATTTATATCCAATTTAGCAATAGACATCTAGACTAATAATCTGTATAGTTAATCAGTATGTATAAATGTCAAATACCGAACTGATAATTCTGTGAGGTCCTGCTGAATAATGCATTTTCTATATAACGTATTATATAACAGATCAGTAGAACCACTTGTTCATTTACAGTAAAACTCTATTCAGCCTGGGAAGTAAGGTACATTATATGTTGTATCTAACTATCGATGGAATTTTTTTTTAATGTTAGCAAAAAAAGAACAATTTATTTTATGTTTAAAGGAAAATGTCTCATTTTCACTTAAATACACATTTGATACACGTATTTCAATGTACAATGTATTTCCGTAAGACCAGTATCGATATTGAGGTTGATAAATTCAATACTCCGTCTTACTAATTCAACAAAAGCTAATATGTTCGACATTAAAATACTTTTTGGCAATAATCATGTTACGATATTTCTTCTTATTGACTCTATTGGCTAATCTGTATAGTACATAGATAAAGCTAATTCCTCTTTTTGCAGTTTTACGCAAGAGATTGGTATTGCACTTCTTTGATCCGGTAAGCAAATTACTTTTGTTTTTCAGAAATGTAGATTTTGGAATTTTGCTTGTTTTTTTTTTTTTTTTTTTTTTTTTTTTTTTTTTTTTTTTTGTTTTTTTTTTTTTTGTTTTGTTTTTTGTTTTTGTTTTTGTTAGAATGCATATACCACTTTATGAAAAAACGAACATACATCCTGTTGAAATTAGTTTAAGGTTTAACTATGGAATTAACTGGAACTACAAAAGTTGTCGAGGGAAGGTTCGACATCGGTCTGTATTTACATGTCAAGCGTCTAAGTGAATTTGCTCAGGGTACCGGTACTTCTGACGATTCGCAGCAAACAAACTACATCCCATGAAAAAAATCAACGCGGAGATTCTATGACTGGTTATCAAAAATGTTGCTTTTTTTGTTTACTAAAGGCAGTTGTTAGATAAAAGTGGTTAAGAGCAATCGTTGATACAGTCTGAGTTTGACCTGTGTATATTGATCTCTGCGATGTCATTAGATTTACTAATTCAAAAACGTTTATGTCAGAAATAATGATACTTATATGTACACTGACGTAATGTCAAATTCACTACAATGAATTTACCAATTGTATTTTTCTTTATAACATATTAATTAGATATGTTATAAACTTCAAATCGTTACAGCTGTTTTGCTCCTCTGAAGACTCAAACAAAACAAATGAAATGTTTCTGTTTCAGAAAGAGTATATATGTTAGATTTAAAGGAAACAAAACGAGAGCTCTTAACTTAGGACTATCGGGATAAAAACAGACTCCATTACATCGAATTCATCATCCGTTCAGAACTGTTTCACTGTGTAAAACTCATTTTTCCGATAACCTATTTTATTTATGGCCTTTTTATCTGTATGCATTGATTAATGTGACCGTTATCATGATTGTTTTTCAATAAATAAGCAGAAAGTGACAATTACATTATTTGTCATTACAAAATCGCTGAATCACTCATTATGAAGTCACTATGCAAATGTATGTATATATTAACCTGCGTGTTTTACAGTGGTGTGTTCACATTATTGATCGTCTGACGTGTCTCTTTTGGGTTTTCGAGTGAAAAGTTTTAAGAAATTCATTTTCTTCTTCTTATTATTGGCCTCAATTTGCGTATTCAGACAACGTGGTGTTCTCTCGAACCCATTTTCGTTCCAATCGGGACTAGCTTCCTTGACCGCTTTCAGAAGGCGTTTCCAGTTCCAGTCTATCATGTCTTCCTTAGTGAAATCACAGAGTGTCACGTGACGAAGTAGGTCAGGAATATCCATTTTACTGATAAGAATCGGGACTAACCTCTTTTCCTTTGTTGCTGTGAATGAAGAACAGAGAGAAGCATTTGAAATTAAAAGATTTAGAAACTTCTATCTCTCGTCAAGTTCTTTGGTTCAAAACCTCAGAAAGTGATAACAGAATTTGGGCCAGTCTTTCAGTCGCAATAAGCATACTCAGCATAATTCAAGCTTTGATTCAACCGTTGAAGACTCAAGTATGTTAAACATGACAAACATCACTGCTAGGTTTATTGAAAAATATTGAGCTGTTATGTACACCTTTCAAAAATAATAGCATTTAATATTGCTTAGTACAATATAGATAATAACGTACTGTCCAAATCTTAGACATATATTTGTAAATAACACACTGCTGCCCAGTGTTTCCTACCACGAATATATGCATATCCTTGCTCTGTTAACGATTATTAGAAAAAAAATATAATTGGTTTTATATGGATTTTTCATGGGATTGTGTGCTCATAACTCATCTCCACTGTACACATTTCGCAGCCCATTATAACGTGGTCAGGAAGAACGTACCTGGACAAAGAGCATGCGCAAACTTCGTCATGAAGTCGCACGCGACACTTTGGTGGTACTCTATTGATAGGACGATGATCATAAGTCGACATCTGAAAAATGACAAGTAAATCACACTTTGAAAAGTGAAACATAGCAGTTATTCATTAACGACCAAGGATTGCTATCTTTTTTGTTGTAGCAGAATATAGAACACAATGATATCATGATTTGGCCGTGAGGTGTTCTAGTACAGCGAATTTCGGAAGTCAATATGAGGTTAATTAAATCGGTACCATCGCACAATTACTGAGTACAGAAGGGCAGGATATATCAGTGTATACTTCAAAGTATTACATTGGTATAATACATCTACTGGTAAAACTCATATCAATGTTTTATATAAATTAACGACTAACTCCGAACTACGAACAATCCTTTAAGTAGAGAATTAGTATTGTGACCAAGTTAGAAAGACATTTCTTTCGCTGGTATCATATAGAAATATTCCACATTGAAACATCATAGACATTTCTATATACCCGGAAACACAAAGGACGTCTGTATACACATTGAAACATCACGAATCTTCTATACACCCGGAAACCTAAAGGATTTCTGTATACACATTAAACCACCACAGACCTTTCTATACACCCGGAAACCTAAAGGATTTCTGTATACACATTGAAACACCACAGGCCTTTCTATACACCCGGAAACACAAAGGATTTCTGTATACACATTGAAACACCACAGACCTTTCTATACACCCGGAAACACAAAGGACTTCTGTATACACATTGAAACATCACAGACCTTTCTATACACCTGGAAATCTAAAGGACTTCTGTATACATACTGAAACACCACATACCTTTCTATACACATTGAAACATCACGGATCTTCTATACACCCGGAAACACAAATGAGTTCTGTATACACATTGAAACATCAGGAATCTTCTATACACCCGGAAACACAAATGACTTCTGTATACACATTGAAACACCACAGACCTTTCTATACACCCGGAAACACAAAGGACTTCTGTATACACATTGAAACATCACAGACCTTTCTATACACCCGGAAACATAAAGTACTTCTGTATACACATTGAAACATCACGGATCTTCTATACACCCGGAAACCTAAAGGACTTCTGTATACATACTGAAACACCACATACCTTTCTATACACATTAAAGCACCACAGACCTTTCTATACACCCGAAAACACAAAGGAGTTCTGTATACACATTGAAACACCACAAAAGTTTCTATATACACGGAAACTCAAAGGACTTCTCTATACAAATTGAAACATCAAGGACCCTTCTATAAACATTTAAACTCTAAGGACTTTTCTTTGGCCGGGATCATGTAAAAATATTGCACATTGAAACACCATGGAATCTTCTTGAATCAGAATCAAATCGTTGGCCGGCACCATATATAAATAACGGTAATGGTCTTAGAAGATCTTCCACAATTGGACAATTATAAATTCAATATAATTAATATAGAATTAAAAGAGAGAGAGAGAGAGGGGGGAGGGAGAGAGAGAGAGAGAGAGTGAGAGGGGGGAGGAGAGAGAGAGGGGGGGAGGGAGAGACAGAGAGAGAGAGTGAGAGGGGGGAGGGAGAGAGAGAGAGAGGGAGAGAGAGAGAGAGAGAAAGAGAGAGAGAGGGGGGATGGTTTCAGTTTTCATTAGGTGACCCTCGTATTTAATTTGGATTAATGATGATGTAAGTGTCAACAATTCATACTTATCATGGTTTCTTATGCTAATCACAGTACTACATGCCAAACCTTATGTCCAGGGTAACTACTGACTGGTCAGCTACAGGCCATAAAGTATATTTGTAACGGAAGCCAAATCTTCGGCCTTATATCATAAGTTAACACAATTTGGTTAAATTTTGCAACTCTGTGAAATATACTTTGCAATCAAATAAAAAAAAGCATGATGTCAAAATAAAGTTACAATCAATAAAACTATGACAAAATATGAACAAATAAGAAAAAATGAAGAAAAAGTTACATGGAAACTCCCGAAGAATAGGACCAAGTGTTCACACTATAAAAGTCAATTACACTGTTTAATCTATGTTTTTTTGTGCTGATAAAATTGGTCAATACAAAATACTACATTTGGAAACTAGTGCTTTAAATAACTACGATTTGAGCATGACATTTCTTTACCGTATTTTGATGAGACTTGCGTAAGCATGGTACTGAGCTTGTCCTGGCAGATCGTCCCTTTTCGGAATACACAGCCGAAAACCGACATCTTCTAGCTTCCTAGCCATATCTTTGACGAAATCAGCATCAGCCACACTTTCTGAGTTCCAACACACAAAGGCGTCATAGAACTGAGGACGTCCATATTCCGCTACACAAAATATAAATGATAAAGTTTGGTTACTAAACATTCGCATATCTACAAAATTAGGGGAAAAAAGTTTCATTGGTGTAAAATCAGATAATACCAAACATCGGGTATTTCACTGAGGAGAAAAATTGGTGGCGTTTGATATTCTTTAAAATGAAAGTTTTGTAATTACATGTAGCTCATAGAATGGCTCAAACATATTTATCTGGACTCCTGGCTTTCTCAAGTAATTAAGATAATTAAATCATTATTCATGCACAAATTGTCAACTAGCACGACGACAGTACAGATACGTGAGACCTACCGTCCGCTCTTGTCAACACCAGCTGGTCGTCCGGGAGGGCACCTTCAGACTCCACTGAAATAAAAGAGAAATATATATCTGATGAAAGAAGAAAAGTATCCATCAACCGAAGGGTTACTTCTTCTGAAAGCATTGCATACAATGGCATTTAGAATGCAACTGCCAGTTACATAACAGTAACATAAACCAAACAATAATTAATAAGAATACAAAAGAATCCGTAACGTTGTTTAAAAACTTTGACGTAAAGGTATGTCGTTTTAGCACAATAAATGAAAAGCTTTCGATTAAACACCTTTTGTATTCTTTTGCTCATACAATAATGCTATTCAAGTTAGCAGTTTGTGTTACAATGTCTCCAAACGTGCTTAATTTACTTGCTAGGGTTAAGGAAATGTATAAAAGTTACTAGAATGGAATTTTTTAATGTGAAAATTTTGACAATAAATAGTGGAATATTCAAGAAAAAGTATTTGTAAAGGGAAGCAAAATTGACAGAGTTAGTTGAACAGTTTAGCCGACCGGTTCTGTAGTGGTATGAATGAACTCTTAAGTTTTCAGTTCACGTGACAGAAGCAAAACTGAGCTGTGTAAGAGATAATTTCCTCGAGATTTGCAGCCAGGGATTTTGTTATGTAATAATCCTAGAATTCATAATTTTCAAAATAGTAATGTACAAAAACGGCCTGCATGTTATAGGCTAAGGTTATCTAAGATATTATAAATGAAACGTTCTGTCATGGGTTAGGATTACCGTCAGGTTTAGTTACTGGTCTCTTCTGTCAATGGCTAGGAAAACTCCTTGCCTAAGTCTATTAGCATTAGCATTTTACATCAGTGAAAAGGTCTATTATCTACTTTTAATTATCGTCCATAATGCAGCATGCAGCGATAAGATCTAACACCGGAAGTTAGGGCTATAGATGTGTAAATATCACATAACGATAACATGCCAGGAGCCATCCATACATACCTCATGTAACATGCCTGTTTATACACTTACCTATATTGGCGCATGAGGGTAGCGGTTTTTCACGTCGTCGTAATTCGCTTTCAATGTCTCCATCTAAACAGTGGTATTGATAAATCTGATAAATTTCTGTTTAAGTATACATACCGTATATACAAACATCAAGAGATCCCAAAGGAATCGTAGAGTTCACCATTTATTTGTTTTATAAAAGCTTTCTCTTCTTTTGTATTCCATTTCCTTCTAATCATAAAAAAATTAATTCCTCATAACATAAGCAGTAATAATTTTTAATTGTCAAAACCAAGATGGCCGCCTGTCAAACATTTTTATTTTTTTTTTCAATCAGTCCCAAAATCAAAAAGGGCACATTTAGGGATCAACTGAAATTGAAATACGAATCCTGAGAAATACCTATAAATCCAAGATGGACACCATCGGGGGAATTTAAATAGCAAATTCGAGAAAGATCCAACGAGCAGTTCTCAAGAAATAGCTATAATAAATGTTTACGCACTTACGTACGGACGGACGTCAGATCAACGACCTAGGGCGATTTCAATAGCACATATCTGATAATGGTGGGCTTTAAAACTAAATAGGAAGAAACACAATTACAACGTATAAAGACACCGATTAAACCCATTTTATATGCTGCACCGAACCTAAAAATTCTGATATAATGCTATAACTGTCCTAAGAAAGCGGTACAAATTAGCCCTTAGCATAAAAAACATCGAACATTGTAGGTTATATATCATCAAAGTCAGCTACATCATCATAACCTTGTATATGTATATAAATCCTTGTTATGCGTTAATAACACATGTTCAACCTCCTCAGTATAACCTTGTATATATCTAAGTCATCTTATACACAAAATAACATCAGTGTCAGCCTCACTATCATGACATTGTGTATATCGGAGTTATTTTGATAACATTCCCTGTTGATGTTATCACACAAGTCAATGTTTTAAGGATTTATTGATGACGTGGCTGTAGGATATATTTATCATTGATACAAGATATATAACTCATAAGAAACACTCCCAATTCCTAGTAGGTAAAATACTTGCCATCCATACGATATCAGTATGTATATTGGGTAACTTATGAAACTCACGTTCGTGGTTCAATTACTGCTGACACAGGTAGCATTGTCACTGTTTTATATGAGTGTTCTTATTGACAATTTGATACGGCAAAGCGGGCCTTCTTTACATTGTCACAAAGCAGCTGGTGAGCAATAACACGCAAGTATTTACCACTAAGAGTTCTGAAGGGCCTTATACAACGGCAGCACATTCGTCCTATCAAAAGTTTTCATTTCAGAATTTTCTATTGCCAAGATCTTGATGACAAAAGGAAATAGGCAACTGGCATAACCTATAAAAACCACTCTCCATACATTACGAAAAAAACATGTTTACAGACACACCGATCAAATGGTCTTTAGATGATAATGATCTTAAATAACATGAGACCTAAACATCTTAATATGAATTTAAATAACTAGATAAATAAGAAGAAACAGGAAATACAAAGAATTTTAATTTATTCATATTTGTGTCAGGGCCCAGTTTAAATGCTACTTTAAATGGAGGCAGGGAATAGTCAGACAGGCCATACACACTCACAATTCTGTGCCGGGTCCAAACAAGACTACAACCTAATACAATGCTGGTAGACTGTATGAATGCCTGTACCGGTAATGAATCTCTGAATTCACACAAGAACTGTTTTATTCCTGTCTGTATTCATTGTATAAGAAATCTGAAATATCTAGAGGTATAGAATCATTTAGAGCAGGAAGGAAGTTGAAGAAGAGTTGTCTATGACTTGTGAACAGAGGACAGTGGAGAAAGCCAATACAATTCTCTACAGAATGACGACGCTTACAAGCGTTGCTATTGACTAGGTGATAATTAAATAAATTGGAATTCATTTAAGATTACTAGAACAGTTTCTTTCATGCCATAGAATCATGTTTACCTTTATGTTTCTATAATGTTTAAAAATATTTTAAAATACCAGTGCACTAGTGATGTGCATCAGTGACTGGTTATGACAAAAATCTTAAGCGTAGATGTCATTGTGGGAAACAGACAAGATGGACTGTATTTCCTTCACAAGTGAAGACTTATAGACTTGTTATTTAAATAAATGTAGAATGAGTTCATAGATCCAATGGGCATGACCAATTGGAACCGTTAGAGGGAAAATTGGAGGTTAGAATTGATACTTACTAATATACTTTCTGCTCTCTTCCATGACGTCTAAGCGTTGTAGTTTTTCTAAATGTCTCCATAGTTCTCCTATACATGGATTGCTACGTTTCTCCCATTCGCTGAGAAGTGCATTAGTACAGTTGTCTGTCCTCTCAAATTCCATGATTTCCAGGAATGTAAAGTTTAAAAGTTCTGCCAGACCAGTATAATTTGGTATTAATTCTATGTTATCATCAAGCTCTCGTTCTTGATTTAACATGTCGGCAAGTTTACGTCGAGATGCAATGTTAAGTATAGATATTGGCAGGTTATAACCATCACTTCGTAACGCAAGTTTGCCAGAAACTACATCAGGTAGAGTCGCCATTGTCACACAGACGAAGTCAGTATTTCGCACAATCAACGGCTGCACTTATTTTGACGAACTTTTTCTGTGTCTTCAATTACTGTGCCAAAACATATGTTAAAACATCATTCTTTGCAAGCTTGCCTTGTTTTTATCAATACATTCGGCCCAACAAAATTCAGCTCCTTGTTGTCAATGGATCGGATGTTACTTTCTACTCTCCGTCTTGTCTCAAAACGTCCTGGAATGTTGTGAAACATAATTATAATTCTGATTTCTTAAGCCTTTATTGGCTTGATGTGGTATACATTTGCAGACTGTAAATACTGGTTTCATAGAAGACTGATGTTTATTTCAGCTATTGATAGTTGGATCACAATAATAGATTTCATACTACTTTCAAAAACTAAGGTAAGATATGTACAAATGCTGGATGTCATCAATGAACATACGACTAGTATTCACTAATGTTTAAGTTTAAAGTAAAAGTTTTTTTTATTGCAAGATGTAACAAAAGGATAGGTGTATTTTTACGTATGTAGAGAAGTAAAATTGTACTACATGAACATGAATGAAGCATATAAAAATAGTGACCTAGTTAGTATATACACTCAATCGATGCCTTCTGCTCTTAGTCCATCTGAATCCTAAAAATCGGTCATATTGGTATTCATAAAAATCCTCTTCTTTTCTGTAGAATTTCTTCTTTAGAATTGTTCATTTAAACGACTTGATAAGGATACAGTCACACATCGGATTCCGATCTATGAAGGACATCGACTATCTTTTTATAATCTTTTGGTGGCCAATATGAATTTTTGAACAGAAGGAAAAACTTCAGAGTTTGTGTTAAAAGACATTTCTATATTACCAAATCAAATGAAATCTGGATCATACATTGTTTGTAAATTTAACTAGTTTAATTTATAAAGGGTAAATTGATGACAGGGGGTCCGTTTAAAGAATTATCCATGTCGTCTCTACGCTACCAGTCCAAACGTGTTTAGGCACACATACACGTACCCCTTTAACCATTACAAGAAGTAGCCGATAACGAAGTCGTAAAATATCAAATATTGAACAAGTACAAACCAGGTATACGAATACATGCATAAGGCAGGCAATGTTTTATATACACATCTCCTGCTATTAAAACTCTTATGTAAACAATAATCCTACTAAGTACAAAACTTCTGTCCTCAAATTTAAACTATAGATTAAAAAAAAAAACAACATTTTTTCGAAGTTTCAGTAAACAGATCAAGAGTTTCCATATATATATTAGTAGAGTATGAATTCCACACGAATACTTACCGTGTCATCCATCAACTGAGGAGACCCTTCCGATGCAGCAGGAGAACAAATCTTTCATTAAGTAATACCATAGAAGAATACTTCCCCACTTCCTGGTACCACGGTTTAACTGGAAATAATCATTACTTCCTGTTTCTAAAAACAGCACACGCTAAAAACCTATAGCGAGCTCTTCAGTGTATTGTGTGTAATGGTTACCCGTGACCTGTAAACACACCCGGGATGTCCCGTATGTCTCCGTATGTGAACAGCTTAATCTTTCAAACATTTAAACCGATCACATTACTTCAGTTATAGATCTACGACTCAGTTTACTTATACTGTTACCGATAAGGAACAAACACAGACACGTAACAGGATTTATTACAAAACATGTCTGGTAGTGCGGAAAGGATAAATTGATATACGTATTGACACATGTCCTTTACATGTATATAGTTTGTGATAATCACCTAAAATAGACAAAATATCCCCTCACACTCTCAGTTTATCTCGTCTTCTCTGATTGACTAATTTTATACTTCTCTTTCCAGATTCAGTTTTACCACACGCAAATAATGATTGAATATACGTAACAACTTTAATGATGATTCAATAATATTTATTAGATATACCTAATGATCAATGAAATTTCGTCTCGCACTTGTTGGCACTCTGCTCACGCTCTACGGTGATGTAGAGGGTACAATTTACTGAATTCCACCAGGGAACAAAGAAAATCGAAATCTTCCTAAACAAGTATTAAAGACAAGTCAGCACATGGGAGGAAAACTAAGCCACTTATTAAACTGAATCGGTGATTTAAAAACTGGCTAATTATGAATAATTAATTATCATTGTCTATAAATGATAAGGACCGGTTTATAATGAATTCCTGAACTTCACAAGAATCCATATAAACAACGTTTTGTGACTGGCTCGTCTAACAGTTCAATAAAACCTTTGTCAAAACCATTCACTACTATCTTTAGTATTATAAATTCTGGGTTTCAGTATTATTAAGATTCTGTTCACTCAAGAAGTGAAATTCATAGTATGTTGATTTTAAAGAGCTTTTTGACTGATATTCGTCGCTTATCTCGATCTATTCCTACAATGAAACAGCCATGAGCATTTTTCCACCAAACTGTATGATAAGTGTGATGATTTCGAGTTCCCTATTGTGAATTATCAATTTCTGGATGGCAACATTTCTGCATCCTCAAGCTATGGTGTTTAGATGTCGCAGTTGATTCGATAATCAAGGGCTTATTCCTATTTTAACGATTATCGTGCAAGAACACGTAACAGGCTTTCAAAAGATGTTGGTTGATGAAAGTTATGGTGAAGTGTTACGGTCATCATAGTGATCTCATGGAAAATTAGTCTATTTCTTTGTGCTATATGAAGCCAGACGTGTTTGATGCTCGTCGGTTTGCTAGTTGGTTTCATTGTTTTATACTTTGTTCTCATTTGAGAACCGGACATTAATTACTTTTATTAACGAAAATTTACATGGAGGTTGTCGTACATGAAGCAGGTGACGCTTACTCTTCCGGAACATCTGGATCTATTTTATCTTGTTCTTATTCAAATGTGTCAACTTTTCTTTTGTTCATATTTTGCTTCAATTTGAGTTGTTGCTTCTTCTCCAGTGAAACAAAAGATCACAAATCCTGTATAACTTCATCAAACTTGTTTTGTATAAATTTTGAGGAATTTATAGTTAGGAGAAAATGTGACAAAATGTCTTCTGTCCAGACAATTAAATACTTATTATATGTAATCATTATACCAGTTACCAGTAAGAATAGTATGTATCAGTGTTATGTTAATTGCACATGAGATCAAAGTGAACTCTGGCAATGTGCATGAAAGTATCTGAGTGATAGAATATGACAGAATAGTTTATTTGTTTTCGCAACAACGAAAACGTTTAAAGAAATCATTTAATTTCAGTGCGTGCTCCCTTAGTTTTCATTGTCTTTGGAAAATAAATTAAATCGCTTTTATATATAACATAATTATAATGTACAATATTAAGAAGCTATGATAAGGGATAATTAACGCAAGTTGATATCATGAAAAATCTCGGGCAAAATATGATTTAAGGAAATGCTCTACCCTATGAGAGATATATCGTGTTTAACATCTGTGTTAGATTTTATACATCATAAAGGATACCTCTCTAACAAAATTCTATACTGAGAAGAAAATGCGCATATTTACAAGTTCTCAGATCATCAGACATCTGTGTAAGGAAAGACAATTCTTGGTAGAGACGGTGGAATAAGATTTTAGCAATTAACAAATAACAAGAAAATATCAGCATTTAAACGTCATCATAATCGAAACTCAAATTCAATAAAACAAGGACTAAATAAAAGCAAAGGAAATTATTACACGGAGACTCCAGAAAAAGCTTCATATCGCACAAAGGAACAGGCTTTTCTTAATGAGATCACTATGACAACCGTGCCCATAATTCTCATCACCTGCATCATTTGAAACCAAGTTTAACTAGTTTGTTCCTCAGTTGACAACTTCTTGTATGCAAATCGTGATAATGGGAACGATCCCTTAAATATCGAATTAACTGCAACAGACTAACACATTAGGTATATGATGCAAATAATCATTTGAGTATGTTAGACAGGATTGTTGTTTTGCAGTAAACTCCCATGTTGCCATTAACTGTAGACTGGCACTTTGACTAAGCATGAACAAATGTATTTTTAGATCTTATTATATACTAACTACAGTATTCTCTATTTTCAAAAGCCGCCTTTCCAAGAAATTAGGGATTATGCTTGAATTTGACCTTTTTTCCCTGTCCCTCTGCAATTGCCTCTGTCAACTGTCTGCGAAAGATTGGCGTGATAACTTTAATGAAACTTCCGGATTAGTTTAAATAAACTTCCAAACACATGGTGGTTACAACCTGTTGCCATGATAACCGAAACTGAGACCTCAAAGCGGTCGAATTTCCCGGATTATATCTCCACAACTACTTGATTTTCACTATCAAAATTCATCGTGCACCATGTTGATGCTTGCCATCATATTGGTCATCATATATTGCTATAAAACTTACCGTCACATTTGTATTTAATTAATCGTATTTTTTTTAGAACAGCAGCTCCTCCATGATTAATTTTCAATGCAAACGATTGTACTTTTTTCCATTTAAATGATTTTGGAAATGCTGACAAATATCGGTTCTATAATCACTGCTAACAATGAGGTCCATAACATCCATCGACAATGTTTGATTAACCAAATAACTAAGTAAGGTTTTATGGAATATACTTTACGGAAATTTGATGTCATAATAACTAGAATAATGGGGTCTAATTGGTCAAAATTTCGCCATTACCATTCTGATTTTTCTGATATTTTCTTTTCACAAAAGTTTCAAATACAGTTTTGTACAAGTTGTTTCTGTGACTTCATCCAATGACCATGGTAGGACATTATTATAAACGTCTGTAACCTTAAACAAAATACCACTGTAGATAAATGCATTTTAATCTATTTCAAATAGTTGATTGATACCTTATGCTGCAAGTTATTATGACTTTAGCTGCAGTCATCAGTTCCCTTTAATAGCACTTGCCATCATTTTTTTTGTTCAAGTTACAAATAACAAAGCCTCACATATACTGCTTAAATTGTACAGCTTTTATTTTAATGGTCTGTTATATAAACTAATCATAAATTACAAATATTTGTGTTTTAAATGTCACAAACACTAAAATACACAATTTAAAAAAGTTAAAAATTTAGATTGAATTTTTATATCCAGAATTATCACGATAAATTTTCAAGGTATTATGGAGCTATATTGTGTATCATATATTGCATCAATCGTTTCAAGTAAAAAATGTATAACGTTAAAAAGGTTTTATGATTCAAACGATGTGATACTTTTGCCTGCAGGAGACCAGCTCCCTGAACCATCTTGGATAAACCCAATTAATCTTATTGTAGAAAAAATACTGACAACTAAAATGATAAATAAACACAGATACCATGGTGTAACGCATAACTGAACACAACTGAGAATGATAAAATGCACAGACAGAAACACTTATGTCAACTCCTAAACGTGAACTCCCAATCTTACCGAACCACGATGATATTGAGAGTAAGCATCTACTGGATTAGCAAAAGCATAGATTTTTATTGGAGTGCCACATCACTGCCCCTATTTGAAACTCTATACACTAAACTTAAAGGTTTGACCTTTACATGGTTATATATAAGTAGTTTCCGCTAGGATCTACAAAATGTATATATGACCCTTTAGCAACCTTTAGTTACGTGTTTTAAAACTACCGAAAAATTAATTTTACTCATGTCATCATTTCCTGATGTTGAATGTTCTATACCCTCTCGTGAAACAGGGGAATGCCATGGGAAAATATGTACATTTAATGCTGTTCATGCATATGGAATATATGCGAATATTCTTCGTATGGGGTGGATTTACAATTCTGCACTTAAACAATTCTAAAATTCCCCTGCACGATTTGTTAGAACTGCTAGCAGTCTTATATCACATGTGCAGTACCAGTATTGTGTGGAAAAATAGTAATTCTTAATAGTTTTTTAATACAACTGAAACGATACCATTAAAATTCTCAAGAGCGAAACATTCACTCATCAATAAATCACACAACAACATATTAAAACAAACAATTTTTTGGCTTCGTATACAAATATTTTTAAGAAGTTAGTTGAACAATTTTAAAAAAAATCACCGTTATTTACAGTAAAATACCTTCTGAACTAAATACTGCTCTGATCGTCATAATCTCAAAAACAATAATCTATTCTTACCGAGATGACATGACACCTTTACATGTGGTTAATTCAACATTCCTGATCATTTGATTAAGAGTGTAATGTTTTATGATAAATATACGAAAACTGTTCCATTCATTGCTGTGTTGTGTCATACAATCTACTTCGGTGGCCGCAATGTCTTAATATCATTAAAAGTGTGTTCAAATGAGTTAAAATACATTTCTGATAATGAATATATAGGTGGATATATTAGTAAATGGAATTCAAGTTTTGTTATAAATTCTTCGTTATTTTCTCTTTGGTGTTTTGTTCTTTTCTTGAACATGCTTGTTAATTGTATCACGGTCTCAAATATATAAAGCTTAATATGAAACTGAGATTAAATTGCACTGATCAATATTCAACCATTCTCCGAGTCTGACGACATAAACTAAATATTGAAAGACTATCATCACTTTTCTATTGGCATTAGTAAGATTAACTGATCCAAATATATACATGTGTAGGGTAATGTTTAAAAATGATATATATATATGTGTGTTTTGATTGAAAATCATCTGTTTATGTGTCGCGAGGGATACAATTCATTTGAAAATATTACGTATCTTTCAAATTAGTATCATACGAAAACATAAAATAACAGTAGTCATTGCTAAAACATTTTTTGAAAATGAAATGTCTTTTGGGCAATTGTCGTTAGCGTTATAGCGAACAGTTATCCGACTGAATTAGACTAAATACTATATTTCCATATAAACAAAGGGAAAAATGGATTCAAAAGCAATTTATCAGATCTTTATCTGATGTTCAAAGATCGACAGAAGCACCAGGATGAAAACACCGGTCAAGAAGCCACAGTTTGTAAGGAACAGAAACATTAGTTTCCTCTTGGCATTGACAACTCCTGATATCATTTCTGGAATCTGAAACAAGTAACATTGAAATTTTAATTTCATATTTTGCCAAATGAATGCTGTCAGTTTAGATACATACATGTAAAAAATTACATTCAACGGAACGTATAATTCTTTCTATGACGTAGAAAGCAATCCCACTTACCATGTCGACCAAGGAAATGTAGAGGAAGAGTCCAGCGGTGACGGCGAATATCCACTGTCGGACAACGTTGTCTGTGGCGACTGACACGCCCACATATAGGCCAATAAATGCTGTGAGAGAAGACAGGAAATTCAGGCAGAGCGCTTTCATCCTAGACACGCCTCCATTCATCAAGATGGCAAAGTCTCCTAAACATAAAGCACAACCATCAGCACATCACCAGAAACCACGGGTTTTTGTAGGTTTAAACTTATCTGAAATTACCTCTACATGTAAACCCAATGTGTGCAGGGTAATTCGCCTTGTACAAACTAAAAGAAGAACCGTATTTACAACATCAGAAACTCTAAAATGATAAATGGAATGTTTATGTGCAACTATATAATTTGTAAAAAGTAAAAAACAGTGCAAACTAAAACAACTTGCCTAATTCATGAGGTAGCTCGTGACAGAAGACGGCAATGGAAGTGGCCAAGCCCACAGGGCCGGACTGAGTGAAGGCCGCACCAATGGCAAGACCATCGGCAAAGTTGTGGATTGAGTCTCCGAATAACACCATGATGACAACTGTTGACCACCCTAGATATATACAGAACATTCATGAGAGATAGAACTCAGTCCATTCAGAAGTTAAACTTATGATATTAATGTATAACAGGACTTTACAAAAATACTTAGACAGGAATAATATACAAGGCAACATTTCATTTTTCTGTGTTGTGGGTTTAATGTTAAATGTATTGTTTAAGAAATCGACATTCATCCACTACAAAGTAGGCTAAAGCACTGGAAAACTGTATTCTTACCCAATTCTTCCAATGTAATATTTATCTATCTTATAATTATTGCATGTTTACACTAATGATGATGTCCTTACAAAATTGATCTCTGATATTGTGACGTTCAGATAATGGGAGATGATTTGTTCTATTTACAAAGTGATTTCTATTTACAAACAAAGTGATTTCTATTTACAAACAAACTGATTTCAACTTCACAATTTCATAAATTATTTTACTACAATATTCTTCCATATAATCTTAGTTAATCATTTTTCTATCATTTTCCTTCGGCGTTGCTCTGCATTCCAACACAGTGATATACAATATATGTACTCGGAAGCGAACACTAAATGTATTACTGATTTCTCTAATACATTTCACAGCCTGATATGTTATAGCATAGATGGTAGCACTTACATTAATGCTCATCAACTCTGACCTTTTACTTGAAACCGGCATGAAAATGTCAATGACTTGGTGTATTAAATATGATTCATACAGACGCCCGATAACTAGAGGGAGATAATTCTGTCGATAGCTGCAGACACCTGCAATTGCCGTTCGTTTAGGCATACAATCAAGTTAAACTTTGTAAATTGGAACTCCCGTTCATCGACCGTCAATAATTTACTGCCTAATGGAGTTTAACATAAATCCACCAATCACCACAGGTGAAAGAGGAATTATACCCATTAGCAACAGAGATCTCCCTGTATACAAATAAACATCGTATATCATAACTGAATATCTTTCTTTTTTGAAAACAATTCTAAATACTCGGTAAATGCTTTGAAGTTTGTGACAGAAATATTTTCCGTTTATAAATGTTAAAGTATGATAGAAATAGTAATAATATTCTTCACATCGTCATATATTATTAGTATAAATCATGATATATTGACACAGAAAAACAAGACTAGTGTGGTATAACGCTTTAACATTACCTTTGATATTATATTGAGTTTTCTAAATGATCTTAAATGCTGTTTATCTGGTGAAACGAAATTAACGATATACCTTAAAGCTGACCACCCACCTTTTTTCCCCGTCACTTCCTCTGGTTGATAAGTACCGTTGCTCTCACTAACAGAGTAGAGAGTGGATTTTGACGAAGAATCAAAACCATGATTTATCTGTAACAAACTATTTTTGTTTTAGCGCACCAGTTTTATCAGAGTCAGCAAAACATACAAGGTGTATAATTCTATTAGTCTCATGACCCTGATATTAACCAATCTCAACTGATCTTAACTAATATCAACCAATCGATATCCGATCAATAACTTGTTTGGGTTATTGACCTTGTTACCTATTTAATTGTTCTCTCATGCTATTGATTTTATTGAATGTTCTATTCAAACTTTACGTAACTTGTTGCAGCGTTTGGACTCTTCTTCTCTTGTAATATCTTAAAATAGGTATTAGTAGTCAATACTGTTTGCCTTTGATTTATAATATAATCGTATTCAGTGTACAATGTCCTCTTCTGTTCACTATTCAAATATTTCATCATTCAATATTGGTCTTTGAATCATCATTCCTAAATCAGACCATACCTTTCCCTGTCCCATCTCCATATCAGCTGTCATATGGGAATGATTGTGGGCCTGTGAATATAAGCATCAAATTAAATGTCTAGCAATAGATCAATTTTGTATGCCATATTTTCTAGCACTTGTTTTTTCCTCATAGAAACTAAGTATTCCTAATGTAACTAATTTCCACCCCGCCGCCCTACGATATTGATATTGTACTAATGCACAATAATCAACACTTTTAGCATAAATAGTAAAACATACAGAATACATGGTAAATGGGTTATAATATAAGCCGTATTTTGGCGATGGTGAAGAAAGAACCACTTCAGACATTGACAATATATATCCTGAACCATTGATTGAAAATCAGACTATTGAAACTTATACAGTTTTGTTGTTCAGTCTGTGTTTACCCGATGTTGACGTTATGCTCAATTATGTCTAATGACGGACGCCAAAGTTATTGCTCCGCACGGAAATATTGTTCCAACTTCAAAGGATATAACAGTGATTTTCAGTTTTCATACATCAACATGGTCATTACTATATGTGAAATAGCCTGTTTAAACAATTATTTATATTCTTAACAATGCAAATACTCAATCTGCCGAATTACCGTACGTGCTAAAAATACAGCTATTTACCGTCACTCCCGAATACAGCAAAAACATGTGTGACGGGTGTATTCCGACAACGACGGTGCCAGTTGCGGGATAAAGATGTAATGGATTGTTGCCGGGATCTTGTTATCTTGTATCAAAGAATGATCTAGTAATTTTTCAGTATTATGTTTTCATAAAACAACTAATTTAATCGTTTAGAAATAACGGAAACAATCCAACCAATTTCATTTCTGTAACCAAAGTATGCATGCGTAAATGTTACCAAGCTGATACAGACAGTTGCTACAATTTTTGGGATCTCATTTGATATTGAAAAACGAAATGAATCAATGAAACATTCAAACAAATAGAGAAATAATTTCACATATTCAAAGCTAATAAAATTATTGGGCTAGCACACCTCCTTCTAATTGTTCATATTCCATGCGATCTATTGTGATTTTCCTTTGAAAAATAAAGTAGGCCTGTTTCATCACTAACACAGCTCTATGTCGCAGTTTAGTTCATTATTTGGTTTTTGTGTTTTAAACAAAATTTGTATAGAAAAGCGCGATTCAAGTGTGTGTCTCATGCAAAAACTCTGTATTATTCGGAATATTTTTTTTATTTCAGTGAAAGGAAAATAACAGGTAAGTAATGCACCTGATCAGGGTTTGGTTATTACGTCAATCTGTAAATAGTCCGACCCTAATATCTTCTATTAAACCAGTAGACCCCAATTTTAGATCAGGCTGTGAATGCTAATAGATTTGTTTCTGTTAAAGGTAAGTGTAACGTGTATGTTTACATTACAGGTATGTCACATGTAGATACGCGATCAGTTCTCACGCATGAGAGAGCACTTACGTAATTAATATAAATAGGGTTGCTGCCAAATAATATCCTTTCATCATTCATCATCAGTAATATGAAAAACATGGATTTGGAGGTAGTGTAGCAAAACCACATGGTTTAATGCGAATTCACAATTACAGTCTAATAAGTTGAAAAAGCATAGACATCTTGCATACAAATGTATTTCTCTTGTGAAACGTGTGGGGTAAGATGGAAAACTGAAGTACATTGTAATGTAAAAAGATCCGCGTCAAAGCATACTGTTATATTATGTTTTTTTCAACTCGTTTTCAACAGATATATTTTGTTAAAAGGCAGGCAGCCGAAGTCAGATAATTTGGATGTCAATCAGAGTGCAGTCTAAAAGGTTAGTCTGGCTACACCTTAATAGCGAAAACACATCCGAGTTGTGAACCAGCTGTATTGTTAATAGCAAGTGTGTGAATGCAAATAAAAAAGATCAGGAGACCGTTTGAGTGGTGCAGAATGTGACATATAGATACGAGATCAGGTCTCACGCATGAGAGAATACTTACGTAATTTGACCCTCCTCTGAAGAGAGACATTATCATCTCCAACCAATAGAAGGCGTAGAGACCTGTGAATATTTAACCAGGATTTCAATATTGCAAGGCCTTTCAACAAGGTCGTAATGACTCAAAGGACGAATTCGAAATACATTTCTATAAACTATTTGAATAGTCGACACAAAGGAAGCTGGCATGCATATCTCACTAATATACATAATTGAAGCATGCAGGCCTTGCTACGTATGACCTTATACTGGTACAAATGGAAAATAACAAATACTGTAGACGCTGATTTATTTCTCGATGTAAATAAACACAGTTGCTCTCTTTATATATATATGATTAGATGTTTCATTTGTTTTCTTACGTCTTTGTAAAATTAAATGTTAAATAACTGAAAAAAATCCCACTGAAGATATTTTGATAATGACAATAACCTTGACACAATTCTTTCTTGATGTTTTCGTTGTAATTTATCGATTTTATTGAATGTGACAAATTGAGATGCAAGATAAAGCTAAGGCTAGATTAAGCATATTTTCTATTTTTACGCAGGAAATTAATTTTTTTAAGATATTTTATTCGCTATATAGAATTTAAAAGTAATGATACTCTACTATATACATTAATAATAAAAAAGACTTTAAGAATGTTGGTTATAAACTTGGGAAGATTAAAAAAATCATATAACAATACAACACATAACTTTATATACAAGTATATCGCAAAAATATTCCCAAAGGGAAGCTCGTCTCCTCTTCTCTAGTTTAGACAAGATTAGAAATGTCTTGATCAACAACTGAAGTCAAGATGCTGTCAATAAATTTATGTGTAGTTTATTACATTGTATTGCCAACTTGGAAAGGAAATGTACCGCAAAGAACAACCAACTCAACGAATCAGGATCACAGAGGGCATTCATTGTGATTCATGATATATTGAATATAACAACACACAAATAAAACTATTTTGTTCGCTACTGACCTGCAATTGTCGCCAAAGCATACCAAACATACGGCTCTACGAAGATCCCTTCTCCGTGGTCATGTTCATCCCCGGGATTATCAATGTGAATCCCAAAAGCCTGAACAGGGAACAAAGTTCTAGATTATCTCATTTTCAAAAAATCCACATTTTTAGCATTTCATTTCACTTACAAGAATTATAACTACAGATTTAAAAAGGAATCGCTCATTCACGAACAAAGTATTTGTGGGTTAAAGTATAAGGATGTGAAAATATGGACAGAAGTTTGACATCAGTATCACAATTCGGTTTGGTAAATTCGGTGATACAGAAGTAGTAATGTAACAAACAAATAAAACAATCAGTAACAAGATACAACCAATATTTCTGTAGACCGATTCATGTGACAACGTTCTATCGGTCTAATTCATTTTTTAATTAAAACTGTTACACTACGTTTTTGATGAACGACAAAAATAATATATATATGGGCAGTTTATCGTGTGAGATTTAGAGCTAAGGCACATTGGTTCAAAATATTTAACATGGAAATGAATCGATACAAAGCCTCTATGGACGGTGTCATTGTCTGATAAAAAGAGAAAGCGATGTCACAGTTTTAAACGTGTAATAACGAATGTATCTAGTGTATTTGTACTGACCGCAGGCAGCAGATGAAGAAGTGCGTCACTCAGTAGGGTACCAACAGCCAAGCCAATAAAGGACGCCATGACACCGTGGTATAGCGAAGACCTTTCTGTGCATCCGATAAGGACGATTCCACCAAGTGAGCACAGGCAGATGATGAGAACAGCTAAGGTACTGTAGCCATACTCTAGAAAGAGACAGACAGAATTATTTATTGCATAAGTGCTGTCGGGATTACATTTACGACAAAAGACATGTTTGACAATTATCCGTAATCAGTTTTAAAACATGTCACTGTGGAAATGTATAAAACATGAATTGTTAAACATCAAATTGAAAGTAGTTATTATTGTCAAGTTAATTGTAAAGAAAGTTTATTTAAAAAATAACATCCAAAAAGTTTGAAAAAGAAAAACCGTTAACGTCAAAATGTTTGAAAACATGTTATTGTCAAAAAACTGAAAAGAATGAAATCCGAAGTCTATATTCCTAGGCTTGGACAGAAACAATGTCAAGAAACAGTTATAAACCCCCTTATACATATATACAACGTGCTAATTGCTACATCTTGTGTTAAGTCCATAGAATACTGAAATGAATCAGTATGTGATGTGAAAATCAGTTTCTTACTTTCGGCTTCAGACAAGCTGGATACTTCTGATGATTTGTTGGCAATTGGAGGCACGCATGCGTCGTACGTCTTAAGATAGAGCAAGGACGGACAAAGGTCATACAGGGTTTGGACAGGGATGGCGCTGCCGTCGGTTACTCCATGCATGGCTAGTACATCACCAGCACCATAGCAGCGGGTGGACTCGAACTGTTGTAAAAAATAACATGGTTTCATAACCCGATGAACTATATAATAGAGGTTAGTATATCCTTTACGATGCATTAGTTTTAACAAGTGTATTATATACTGGACATCTAATTCCTAACTCGGTATATACAGCGCGTTAGCATAACAATGAGAGTCACTATATCAGCATGCAGAAATGTAAACACAATCAACACCTTTTACATCTTCTGGTGGTATAAAACTAGATTTTGTGAAACTTACAGCTTGCATGTCTGTTTCTGTTGTAGCAGCCCGCTTACGGCGTCGATGGTCGTGGCCATCATGAGCATCATCAGTCGGCATACTGCTAGTTCCTTCCAGATCAAGCGTTAACATAAGTTTCTTCAACGCTGATAATAAATTGAAAAGAAAAACTAATAACAATAACAGAAACTAGTCAAACCAGTTAAAAAAAGCAAATTTACTTCGTTAATAGAATAACACAACCCAAAGCTACCCTGCGACCCAGTACTAGCATCTTAGTATAGACGCATTTAACATATGCATTTCAATACTTGCAGAAAAGGAGTAACCTTTCAATGTCAATGTAGTCGTGAGGTGATTCATTAAGATTGAAATATATCTTTTTTAAAAGTGCTAGAAAATTGTTCAATTAAAGTATATCTTGTATCTCGTAATGGACACTTTTCAAACTCTTCATTCTAACATAAAATAATAGATTGTATACAGCGTTCCTTCTCTAATAGAAGAAAAGCAAGCTGATAACGATTATGAGGAAGCTTTATCACAATGATAGTTTGGGAAATTAGACATAATCGTGCTGTAATCCACTGACTTCGCATGGAATAATGTCAACGGAAGAGAGGAATTGGTTTGACGGATGACATTATCCGAGGACTGATTGATAAGCTGTGAGCCTCATATCTAAGGGTTTGACTTTTACCGGACATATTGCACAAGTTTTCAACACAATCCTCTTCAGTATCCATACACTTTTGCCAGTGGTGTTTAAGGGCCTCAATGCCACTTTTAAAGATGTCCTTTTCTTGACCGTTCAGAAAAAAGTATGATGGAGCGAGATCAAGTAAATAAGGCAATGACAGACTTGTAATCAGGGGGATTGTCCTGGTGGAACAACATACCTTTACTGAGTTTTCCGTGTCGCTGGAGTTGAATATTTTCTCCTAATTGCCTAAGAAGTGATGCATAACATGTGCCAGTGATTGTTTGTCCCTTTTACAGATAATCTACCTTCAAAATACCATCAACATCCAATAAAACCGAGGCCATAACCTTTCTTGCTGATGGAACAGTCTTTGCCTTCTTTGACGGGGGAAACCCAGAGTGTTTCCATTGTTTAGACTGTTGTTTGGATATCCTTATGCACTAAACCTTTATTATACATATATTGAATCACTGCTCTTTCAGCAATATTTTCCGTTTCACAAAAGTCACTCATAGTGTGACCTCTTCGACATAAACTGATCAAATGACACCAGTCTTCATGAACACAGCCTTCAATAGTCAGGGAATAGTAGAACTGAAAAAGGACATCCCTTTTTTAACTTCTTCAATACAAGGCTCACAACTTATCAATCAGCCCTCGTATATCATAATTACACTGATTATGCTGTTGAAATAGGTAAATGCATTTACCATTAGACGTATATTGACGCTCCACTTCTAAATGTAAACAGAACACTCAAATAAGGCAAGTTAGTTAATCGCTATTATTCAAGTTGTAAGGTTACTTGATATTAGATATAAAACACAATACGTACCTTTAAGCTTGAAAGTCTTGTTTGTAACATCAATGAATTGTTCAACCTTACGATTTAAGAAATCTGGTCTAGGTAATAACCTACATCCGCTTAGGTTCAGTTGGTCCTCTGGAAATTAATCGTAAAATGTGTCCAAATGCTTTGTTTTCGGGAGCAAATGAAAAAAAAGGAACGCCATGAACTTATATATAGATAAGCTGCATTTCTGATCTTGATGATGTCGTTTGACTACGATTTCTATGTATATCTTCGATAAGACGCTTATCCTTCTGGAACACCTGGTATTTCTGATCTGAATTTTGTAAATGTATTGTATATATTTTGCTTTGTTTTTATCAGATTTGAGTTTAAGTAGCAATATCATAAACCTGTTGATTTTCTTCTGTCATTTTTGTAAGGATGTGGTCATACTTACTGGCCAAGAAATGGTATATCAGCAAAGCAGACATATCGTCAACAAAATCCAAATCCAGACCGTCTTTAATGTTTAAATGAAGTTCATCAAATATCTGACCGGTACTGAAACACTGAAATTAATCAAGAAAACTCTTTTTGTAAGTGGATGAAGCATGCTATCTGGATGAAAATAAACAGCCTTCGTGTGTAATTTATCACACAAAGGAAAGATAACAACATGTATGAAAGTATTATATCTTCTGGAGCAAACAGAGAATGAACGTTGAGTACATATATGAAAGTATGATATTAAGTCCTCTGGAGCAAACAGAAGATGAATGTTGAGTACATATATGAAAGTATGACATCATATCCTCTGGAGCAAACAGAGAATGAATGTTGAGTACATATATGAAAGTATGATATTAAGTCCTCTGGAGCAAACAGAAGATGAATATTGAGAACATGTATTAAAGTATGATATTTTGTCGTCTGGATCATACGAAATTTGAATGTTTTGCGTGAAATGCCAATAAGTTTTATCACCTACCTGTGATTGTGTTGCCATTGACTTAATTTCGTTTTCGTGGTCGTCATCGTCATCATGATCATCATCGTGGTCGTCATCGTGGTCGTCATCGTGGGCGTCATCGTGATCATGATCGTGATCATCATCGTGGTCGTCATCGTGGTCGTCATCGTGATCATCATCGTGATCATCGTCGTGATCATGATCGTGATCATCGTCGTGATCATCGTCGTGGGCGTCATCGTGATCATCATCGTGGGCGTCATCGTGGTCGTCGTCATGATCATCATTGTGGTCGTCATCGTGGTCATCATCATCGTATACCTCTTTTAAATCATTCAGTACAAAAGACAGTTCACCAAATTGAATGTTGTCGCCTTTATTCGTGTCTAGAATCTGCAGCAGCCTTGTCTTGTAGAGTGTATGATTATCAGCGACTGTAACGGACTGATAGCAGTAATCCTGTAAGGTCAGCACGTGGAACAGTAGCATTGTCGACAGTTTACCGAAATCGTCCTCTAGTAGGTCTTGTCCATCAGCGATTCCAAGGGCCAGGAATAACTCACTGCTATTAAGACACTACAAAACAAAGAGGATATAACAGACAACGGTAAAAACTTAAAAGGGTTGCTTAAGAACAGAGAGAGAAAAAGAGAGGCAGTGGGGGGAGAGAGAGGGGGGAAGGAGGGATGGGGAATAGAGAGTGAGAGAGAGCGAGAGAAAGGGGGGGAGAGAGGGGGAGAGGGAGGGATTGGGAGGAGAGAGAGAGAGAGAAGAATCATATTTATAAAAACAAGGCGAACATAATGAATGTCAAATTGTCTATGTAGTCCTATGTCGTCATAATTCTCAAAATAATTCTGGCATATTGTGTACAATTACAACTAAGCACAAAGTGTGACTATTTAGGAGAAGTGTGGATCAGACAGAGGGTCTAGCCAACAATACGTAAAGATCGGTATTAGTTTATATAGTTAGAGCCTATCATTTGATGTAACGAGGGAGTATACTTTATGATGTCATAATCTATAATGAGTTTGCACTATTTGTAAGATATTATAGAAGAGTAATACTACCCATCATTGTGGCGATCCTTCCTCACCTTCGTAATCTATGGACGTCTTATTAGAAACAAGTCTAATACGTTATGAAAATAGAATCAACATATCTTTTTTTTTTTTTTTTTTGCAAATAAATCAGAAAATATACATTTTGGCAGGCTTTAAAGCAAATCTGGGGAGGAGAAAATCAAATTAATACAGTTTTTTTTTGCTATTTTTCTGAAAGTTAAACTCAGAAAGTCTTTTCCCATATTCATACACCAAAATCGATTTCTGACTTGCAGACAATGAAAAACTCTCTGATGTATATGACACTAGTGACATTTGCAAAACGCATTTCATGAGAAAATTCACTCGATTTATCAAAATGGTGGGGTCTATGTTAGCTATGTATGTCGTGTTAATCTGTGACATATGTAAACGGTGGATCATGACATTTTCTCCTGCGAGGTCAGAAGGCTGTTGTTAATTTTATCATGAGCCATTCATATTGTTATTTATGGTAACAGTAGGAAACACTACAACATACGTCATCAGCTTCCACACTAATGTAATACACTATAGCGCACGTACCTAACAGCTGTGACAAATAGTCCGGAACAGGTGTGCTTTCTGACAACACGACATGGCAATCATAGTCGAATGAAACAACCGGTATATTGGTAGATACAATGTAGAGGAAGAATCGGTTATCAAAAGTACCGATATAACGGTAGACTCTGTGTAGTCTAAATACTGGTGATAAAAAAGTCCCAGTATATTGGTATATCTTATAGAAACGTTTGTCCCAATTTTTTCCTTGTGGTGATATATTTCAATATTCTGTTGTTGATCAGAATTCTGCAAGATTTTTATTATATAGAACGTCTAATGATATACACTGTAAATGTAAGTATAACGAGCCTATGACAATGTTTTTGTTACCTCTGCAAACTTGATTCAAAGCGCATTTGATGTATCCTTACCCATTATGTTTAGTGTAGAATGGACCGGTTTGTTTGTAATGTAAACCCCAACCGCAATCTTCGCATTTCCTCACTTACAACAAAACACTCACCTACATGTCAAAAGTAAATACTACCTGATTCTTATATAATAACACACCATAACACGCCATTTAATGTTTGGATTTTAAAAGAAAATTAATGAGATCCGGATTTTCCTGTTTAAGATAAGTCACCCGTGTACGGAGAAGCTTTCCGACACAGAACATCAGAATTCTGTGTTGGTTCTTTAATTTATCATTATTAGTCACCTCGATGTCGTGACATTTTACTCTGTGAGACATTAAACGGATGTAACTTACTTCTTAAAAACATGTTTATATATGACAGAAAGATTCTATGATAAATGTTATGTGTGGCCATAAACGTGACCTTAGACTATTTACACCAACGCACATGTCACCATGGCGATGACCACAGAAGAGATGACCAGGATGAGGCGTGTGTTCATGACAGGTAAAAGAATAATTTTACCCACTGCAGAAATTATGGATTGTCAAATTCTGAAAAATGCTTTTACATAAATTCATACGTAAATTGACTGTCGCCTAAACTACCATTAAATCTGAAATTTTCTACTTAAAGGTGAGTTTCCGTCACACTCCACGTAAATTTACATGTACATGCGTCAAACTCCACTTATTATGAGATTGACGTTTTAGGGAATAGATCGACATCGCATTCATATTTGACTTGTCAAATTGAGCATTTTATACATGTACACATCAGTTGTTCGTTTTCAGAATAATTGGAATAGAACTGTCGACAACACTTATACTCACTGTCAAACTTTCACTTACGTTTTTTAAATACACTCCTGTTCAGTTCATGTAGAAAACACGGAAATGTGCTGGCAATACGTTCGGTGTCATATATTACCCATTTTTTTATTTCCTTTAATAAAGACAATTATCACAAAGTCTACAGATTGGTCTCTATACATTTTTCCGTATTCTGGCTACATTGACTTTCTAGTGTTTTGGAAATAACGATGCCCACTCTTGAATAACGACTGAATCAATTTTCGTTTGTTTTCATTCACATTAAATGAAATATTTTACGGATTTTGTCGTTCTACATGGACTTGTTTACAATAATAAATATACCTTTATTTAAGGCAAATTAGCAAAATGTCTTATAGTATAACCTTGGCTACAATTGCTAATGTTTAGAACACAAACCGGTCTGGCAAAATATCGGAATATATTGACCTTTGGTTAACAAATACCTATACATGGACGAACGCCAATAGCCTTAAGCTTGATCGACAAACAGATTTAATATCTTTTCTCCAAGTGTCAGTAAGGTTTCTCAGTGCTGAAACAATCGGGAATAAGACAGCTATTTATAGAAATATCTGCCACCTATGAACACATACCAGCGAACTTGATGTTGAAGTCATGGTGAAGATCTACATCAATCGATTGACGACAGATTGTAGAAACATGACAAACACATAATACAAAAGGATGTACAATTATACCTGCAAGGCAACTTTTAAAAAGGATGGAACATGGATGTTGTATATATAAGAGATTTTTTTCTGATTGCTTTTAACCGCCAATTAAAACATGGTAATGAGAAGTACAATATCAATACTATGAAGAACTATTTGAAGTGCAATTGGTACGGATGGCGAGTATGTAGGATAGGTTAGAAACTTCTCAATAGTTTACATATCTTTGTACTTAATCGTTAATTTACGTTTATCGGTTTCGATATCGAGACAAACGAGACAAAATCTGGTAGAATTGCTTTGAAGTGTAACAAATCAATTATCATTGTTCTCGAGCATGTTTTCAGGGTGACAATCGAGTTCTCTCTTGTCAATGTTTTGTTATCTGATTATGTACTGTGCTCGAGGCAATTACGTCATCTACTGTTAATGGTTTAGTCTGCGTGTTGTTTTTGACCGTAAGTAGTTTACATATATATTTCCAGTTTTCTTTACCTAAGGTAACACCTGTCTACATGTCAGTATAGACAATGGGCAGCTTCGTTATACATTTTCGTTTTGGAGACCCGTATCTGGAAGGTGTATTACCAACCAGCAAAGGGACACCACGACGGATTACCGAGTGTGATTAGAACTCTGCCATTTCATTGGACTTCTGAATTTTACAGGGTTGGACTTCCATCTATAAATTTCATACATTTTTCGGAATACCAATATATACGACCTTTATTATCATCACACTCCAAACTGTCATCCTATTGTGATTTGTAAATTTGAAACAAATGCTGATGTCCAATAATACAAATGTCCATCTTACTTAATTGTCCTAAATATATCGTTTAGCACTCCGGGGACGAAGTTAAGACAACAATAATGTTATGTCACAAAACCAACGTCACACTCCAGTACTTTGGCTAGTTTTATGCTTTTGGAGCCAATATTCAATAAAATAAAAATGATCCCCTTCTTACTGAATATGCTCCATAGAGGGGTGTCATTTCTTCGAATACTGACCTTACCCCAAAACAATATGTCTACAACTGTTGTAAACAAGACAGGGTGGATCTATGTAGAGCTGTAATGTGCTTCCGGGTATATGTGTACCTGTGGTTAAATATATCTAGGCTATACATGTATAAGGTGTTCGGAGATTTATACACCGGTAATAATGGATGACATAATACCGTCTAACGGTCATAAAAGGATCTTACCACCAAAAGGTCAGCCAGTCTGTTGGAAGATCTTAACACCAAGCAGGAACAAGTCAGCGAATAGAGGGCCATAGTTAGTTCTCTTAGGTCTGTCAACAGTCTGTTGGAAGATCTTAACACCTAACTCCGTAAAAACGCTGCCAACCAATAAGTTGATCATTTTTACGATATAAACCTCCATATCTTTGATTTGGATGTATTTTTTTCACAAGGTACGCTCCGTTAAACTTCACCTTTCTTTGAAAACAAAATTCCTATAAAGACAGATTGAAGGAATACGATCAGTCTGGTGCGGTAAAAGACAGAGTGCAAAAATCACATGTTCTTACAGAAGAAACGCTTTTTAGAAGAGGTTCTTCAAATTCTTAGTCTATATGCTCCAGCTTTCTATTTCCACTTCCAGGGAATATTTAAAAAATATATATATAAACTGTATTTTATTTGGAAAGGACGTCCATACATAACTTATTATCCTGTTTGGGAAACCGTGACAAATATGTCATAAACTTATGTTAACAACCCACGTGTCCAGGATACTATTTTTGTAAAGAACGATAATACCTGACTTCATTGTTTTCTTTTTATGTTTTCTGTACAAGGTTTGTTGTGGCGTTTTCTAACTACAAATGCTGTATTCCTATAATACAGAACGAAAGCAATCTTATATTTACATAAACCATGTTTAAGTTAACGTTAGGTCTGTTTTATTCACACTGTCATATAACAGTTTTCGTCTTATTCTAATTTCTGGTATAAAAACTTGGCGTCATAATATATACACTGAATAATATTTGTTTCCACGGCCCTAAACTTGTTCAAACAGCATGAGTCACGTGATTGACGTCACCGCGTAACAAACAATGTCGCCCCGTCACTTGTATCTGGAGGACATGCAACTTAATTTTCTGTAACAAAGGGAGCACTCTGTTGACATGACATGTAATCGGTCATTGACAATGTCACAAAAAATAACACCAGGAATGTATGATAAACAATGGACTCCATATTGCTTCAAAAATAGAGAAAGTCCATTTCACGACAATTTGAAAAACTGATCACATGAAGAGTCAGTACAGATTGTACAGAAGACACTCAAGTGGATATGGCCATTTAATTTTAAAATTTGGAATAAGATACTGAAAGGCCAAAATAAAGAATTAAAATGCACCATACAGATGGTTGTTAATATTCCATTTCTTCACATGAAAAATCCTATCTCAGGTAACAAGATATATTTCATCTGTTACCCAATCTCTTGTATCTGTTTTCATCCGTTACCCAATCTCTTGTATCTGTTTTCATCCGTTACCCAATCTCTTGTATCTGTTTTCATCCGTTACCCAATCTCTTGTATCTGTTTTCATCCGTTACCCAATCTCTTGTTATTTTCTATCTTGTTTTTGTTTTCGTTTCACAAAAACTGAATTAAATGTACATGACAATACCAGGTATTTTTTCCTAAAGTTGACAATACTAGGTATTTTTTTCCTAAAGTTACCTAGTACGTTTAATATTATATCAAAATTGATGATAATTTCTTTTAAAGCAAATTATATACATTTATAATTATATTTAAAACAGTTCTATTATTTAAACATGATTTTGACCCAATTAAATTTGGCTTTTGAATTTATCATTAGGCGAAAAAATATCAACTTTGGTGAAAGAATTCTGAAAGCTGGTGTGACTACTGCTCTACACAAAGCCACTTGTTCTCAAATTTATGTCACTGTTCAAAGTTGTTCAGGACAGCTTGATATTATAACTAAGAATGTCACACAGGGCTGTGTAAAACTTTATACTCTATGATAGAATTAATATTAGTTAGACTTAATATCAATTTTCTGAGAATTACCTACAACAAACCGAGTTTACATCCTTGATTGATTGTAGGGTGTAGCCGATTTGTCAAAGGGTTTATGGGTGACAAGTGCAAGGAGAACGACAGAAGTTATATAACTTAACCCAGACATCGATTTGTCTGAAGTAACTGACTCCCACGTCACCCGCAAGACAATACAGGGTTCTAAACACCTGCAATTCCTAGACAAAATCTGTGAATTTTTTGTGCAGGACAACTGATAGACATCAATGACGATTCAATGAAATCTACTTCGCATAACTTGTTTTTAAATCACGAACTTCATCATTTTGTCAATATCTATTGTCATATAATTTATCAATATCTATTCCAATATCATTTATCAATATCTATTCTAATAGCATTTGTCAATATCTATTCCAATATCATTTGTCAATATCTATTGTCATATAATTTATCAATATCTATTCTAATAGCATTTGTCAATATCTATTCTAATATCATTTGTCAATATCTATTCTAATAGCATTTATCAATATCTATTCTAATATCATTTGTCAATATCTATTCTAATATCATTTTGTCAATATCTATTCTAATATCATTTGTCAATATCTATTATAATATCATTTGTCAATATCTATTCTAATATCATTTTTCAATATCTATTATAATAGCATTTATCAATATCTATTCTAATATCATTTGTCAATATATATTCTAATATCATTTTGTCAATATCTATTCTAATATCATTGATACTCCACATATATAAGTACGTTGTTTGTTTCTAGTGATGTCATACATTAAACATTTGTAATCTAATTTTCCTAAGACCTGTCATTCCTGTTTCTTGACAAGTTTTAATTTTCCACTGATAAACGGCTTTAAGAACTTCAGAAAAATAACAATTATTAAAGAAGATAACAAATAAATTGCAAATATATTTTAGATTTATTTCAAAATTTCTTTTTAAAAGTTGAAGCAATAGCTATTGTAAAAAGGTAATTGAAAAAATAAATAAATAATCCGACTCACACACAGACACACCACAACCGTACATGGACAGTTAATATATTCATGTAAATACTTAGGTAGCGATACTGATAGAAACATAACGAACGTGTTTATCCTGAAATTTTCAGACTTGTGAAAATTATAGAACTTTATAAATTATTGTGAACTTCTCCAGTATATATTTTGACATTCCTTTCGTTTACTTTGGATTTTTCTCAGGCGCCTCCTAGGCTTAAAAAATTAGGCCCTTTACATTACTGACATGTCTTGTAAGGCCGAAACAGCTGCATGATGCAATCTAATGAATGGTTTGGCTGTACTAGATCTAACCCTACACTTATGTAAAATGGCGCTATATGGCTTGTGTGTTTTTTACCTTATACAAGCTCTCGAGTCTTAATTACTGCTATTGTGTCTCATTTGAAGGTCGACTTCATTAGAAGTGAAAACTGTTGCTCTAGTTTCACACATACCGTGATGAAAATTAGGCCGGTAATTATAAATCCAGGTGAGACATACGTCACGACCTCTACATGTATGCAATCAATCAAGTAAAGACGTGATAGGCGGTTATATATATATACATATATATATGTTTGTTAGAAATGTACAAATATTAGATGTATATGAGGGGACAAAAGAATGTAATTCACCTTTACAGGAAACACGGAGTCCATATATTATATACCAATAAAAGAGAATTATCTACAATTGAAATCATCGGATTGGTATGAATAAATAGCTAAACACAAGAGATTTCAAGCATGTAAACAACACGAAAACAAATCTACCGTGAAATACTAGGGGCACAAAAGCATAAACTAGTTTTCAGTCTATTTTTATCGGTAAATGGTACTTACCAATGGGTGAAGACACTGACCGCTGGCTGTTGGTGCTACAGTCGGTGTTGGACATTTAAATCTCCCGAAAAGTTGCACTATCAAAGCATCAAGACTGGTCAGCGAAATAGAGCTCGTGTTTCGTACATGTAAAATCCCCAAAACTTTTTCAAATGGATCAAGTCCATGATCAGCTTCGTCAGACACAATACAACCGAATATGGAGACAACGACACATGCTAGAAGAACGCCCTTCATTTTGTTACCTTCACTGTCCACTACACTGCTTATGTTTGACAATATGTCAGACGTTCTATATGACGTCTATAGAGGTGATTCACATTTGCCTCACGAAGTAAGGCCGTGTGATTCTCGTACAGGTGTGGCCGTGTGCAAAGGCCCGTCTGAATAAAATGTGAAACTCGCTATGACCACGTGATCATAGTTGTTCGCTGCGCTTGGATAGCTAGGTTAAAGGTAACCGTTTAAACCTGGTCTAGCTAAATAAGGGGTGGCGGAGACGCGATGAGATTATAGCTGTATAATTCGCTCTTGCAGTAATGCTTTACTATAAGACGATAAAATTTACGTATCCTGAAAAGCAATATGTATGTAGCCACGGACGTATTATACAGGTCCTGAAACTAGCTATAGAGGAAGTTGTACACATAGCCATGTTAAACGTATGCACGCTCTGTATATGGTGTGTTTGATATGATCTTAAATACTTAACATAAAGTTTATATTGACGACTTCATCTGATTTACGTAGTAAAGATTTCAGATTTTAATCATCAGACTTCCTGCCTGAATAACGTATGTTTATTTATTTCAACTGACCTAAATTGTTGTACCCGTGCTCCGTCATGTTTGAATGAACAGTGACACGTATAGAAATATACACCGGAACTTCACGTTCTGTTGATATAATTCAGTTTTCAAAATTATGATATTTGTTAAATTTAATGATTAAAGCACAATTGTACAAGAGTGCATTATAACAGAAATGATAAAAAACAAGCGACTGGACATCATCAACTTTAACGTTTCACTTGAACACCATTCATCCATTTCTTTTCGTCTTTTATGATTTTTCTCTTTTAAATTTTGTGTCTGGTGATGAAATAGCAAGGTAAACTGCCGACATCTACTGATAAAAACTAAGGCTGACCCAAGGATACTCTTGAGGCACATAATGCATATATAGGGAATATATGGTGAAAAAAGGGTAAAAAGTGGCGAGCCTTTAGTGGGCCTCTGTTGCCAAAATGTAGCTTATATTCTAAGACATTTACCAGGTATTTGATTTATTCTGCAACAATTATAGAAAATTCAGACTACCAAAATTTCAACATTTTGTTAGGGTTATTCAATGTTTGTTTACCTGACGTCGACGTCACGCTGAATTGTGCTTCATTGGATATAAAACATATTTTTCTGAATATCGAAAATAAACTGGTTTGTTATAACAAATAAAATCGCTTATTTATACAGTTATTCATATTTTAAATGAAATATCTCCATAAATCAGAAAAAAATAATTCTGTAGAATTAATGCACGCGCTGAAACATAGCTGTTTTTCCGTCACTGCCGAATGCAGTAGAAACAAACGTGGTATATATAAATTAATGTATACAGTCATAATTTAACAGGACGAACCGACTGTCACTTAATGTTTAAATGCCACTTACTTAAAGCCCATAAAAGTTCACTAATGTCTTTAAAGTCAGATATGTTTATGTATCGATTAGTAACTTGTCTATTTAAAAAAGAAATTTCCGCTATCTTTCCAATCTATATATTTCTTAAATTTCATATCTGAGAGTTTTAATTTTCTTTCCTATCAAAATGTTAATGTATTTCGATCGCGCTTTTTCCATTACATTCAAAGGAGTACACTGCGTTACTATAAGTCACGGACCGGCCAAACCACGAGTACGTTAGTAATTAGTTGACTACTAGTGTAAGGTATTGAAATTTGGCAATGTCGACAGAAATATTTTAAATGACAATGATAAAATCTGTTACCTGTAACTGAGCGAGATCGGAGTATCTAAGTCTCGGGCTAAGATCCTGTAACATCATCCCAATCGAGGCGTTAGCCGAGGTTAGGATGTTACAGGATCTTAGCTCGAGACCGAGATACCCCAACAGAAAAATCTAGGATTTGGTATTACGTGGGATATCCCTGTATCAGGTGCGAGAAAGGGCAATCATGATACACAGTCTGACATTTGATGTCACGCTGTTTTCTCGTTTCTCATCGTTATAATGGAATCACGATAGAAGAACTAATATCAAAGTGTTTATTTCTGATAGTTTTGAACAGAAGAATGGGAATGTTAAGATCTTGTCCTTGTTATCTCTCTTGTTCCCGTAAATAGTTCGTTCAATTCATATTGTTCCTGTGATCTGTCTCCTTTCCGTCAATATTCAGTACTTTTCTGGTGATCTGTCCCGTTTCAGTCAATATTCCACTCTCTTCTTGTGGCCTGTCCTATTTTTGTCAATATTCTACTCTCTCCTTATGGCCTGTCCTATTTTTGTCAATATTCCACTCTCTCCTTGTGGCCTGTCCTATTTTTGTCAATATTCTACTCTCTCCTTATGGCCTGTCCTATTTTTGTCAATATTCCACTCTCCTTGTGACCGGTCCTATTTCCGTCAATATTCCGCACTCTCCTTGTGACCTGTCCTATTTTTGTCAACATTCCACTCTCCTTGTGACCGGTCCTATTTCCGTCAATATTCCGCACTCTCCTTGTGGCCTGTTCTATTTCCGTCAATATTTCGCACTCTCTCCTTGTGACCTGTCCTATTTTTGTCAATATTCTACTCTCTCCTTGTGACCTGTCCTATTTCCGTCAATATTTCGCACTCTCTCCTTGTGACCTGTCCTATTTTTGTCAATATTCTACTCTCTCCTTGTGACCTGTCCTATTTCCGTCAATATTTCGCACTCTCTCCTTGTGACCTGTCCTATTTTTGTCAATATTCTACTCTCTCCTTGTGACCTGTCCTATTTTTGTCAAAATTCCACTCTCTCCTTATGGCCTGTCCTATTTTTGTCAATATTCCACTCTCTCCTTGTGGCCTGTCCTATTTTTGTCAATATTCCACTCTCTCCTTGTGGCCTGTCCTATTTTTGTCAATATTCTACTCTCTCCTTGTGACCTGTCCTATTTCCGTCAATATTTCGCACTCTCTCCTTGTGACCTGTCCTATTTTTGTAAATATTCCACTCTCCCCTTGTGACCTGTCCTATTTTTGTCAATATTCCACTCTCCTTGTGACCTGTCCTATTTTTGTCAATATTCCACTCTCCTTGTGACCTGTCCTATTTTTGTCAATATTCCACTCTCCTTATGGAATGTCCTATTTTTGTCAATATTCCACTCTCTCCTTGTGACCTGTCCTATTTTTGTCAATATTCCACTCTCCTTGTGACCTGTCCTATTTTTGTCAATATTCCACTCTCTCCTTGTGACCTGTCCTATTTTTGTCAATATTCCACTCTCCTTGTGACCTGTCCTATTTTTGTCAATATTCCACTCTCTCCCTGTGACCTGTCCTATTTTTGTCAATATTCTACTCTCTCCTTGTGACCTGTCCTATTTCCGTCAATATTTCGCACTCTCTCCCTGTGACCTGTCCTATTTTTGTCAATATTCTACTCTCTCCTTGTGACCTGTCCTATTTTTGTAAATATTCTTCTCTCTCCTTGTGGCCTGTCCTATTTTTGTCAATATTCCACTCTCTCCTTGTGACCTGTCCTATTTTTGTTAATATTCCACTCTCCTTGTGACCTGTCCTATTTTTGTCAATATTCTACTCTCTCCTTGTGACCTGTCCTATTTTTGTCAATATTCCACTCTCCTTGTGACCTGTCCTATTTTTGTCAATATTCCACTCTCCTTATGGAATGTCCTATTTTTGTCAATATTCCACTCTCTCCTTGTGACCTGTCCTATTTTTGTCAATATTCCACTCTCCTTGTGACCTGTCCTATTTTTGTCTCTCTCCTTGTGACCTGTCCTATTTTTGTCAATATTCCACTCTCCACTCTCTCCTTGTGACCTGTCCTATTTTTGTCAATATTCCACTCTCTCCTTGTGACCTGTCCTATTTTTGTCAATATTCCACTCTCTCCTTGTGACCTGTCCTATTTTTGTCAATAGTCCACTCTCTCCTTGTGGCCTGTCCTATTTTTGTCAATATTCCACTCTCTCCTTGTGACCTGTCCTATTTTTGTCAATATTCCACTCTCTCCTTGTGACCTGTCCTATTTTTGTCAATATTCTACTCTCTCCTTATGGCCTGTCCTATTTTTGACTCTCTCCTTATTTCCTATTTTTGTCAATATTCCACTCTCTCCTTGTGACCTGTCCTATTTTTGTCAATATTCCAATCTCCTTGTGACCTGTCCTATTTTTGTCAATATTCCACTCTCCTTGTGACCTGTCCTATTTTTGTCAATATTCCACTCTCCTTATGGAATGTCCTATTTTTGTCAATATTCCACTCTCTCCTTGTGACCTGTCCTATTTTTGTCAATATTCCACTCTCCTTGTGACCTGTCCTATTTTTGTCAATATTCCACTCTCCTTATGGCCTGTCCTATTTTTGTCAATATTCTACTCTCTCCCTGTGACCTGTCCTATTTTTGTCAATATTCTACTCTCTCCTTGTGACCTGTCCTATTTTTGTCATAATTCCACTCTCCTTATGGCCTGTCCTATTTTTGTCAATATTCCCTGTGACCTGTCCTATTTTTGTCAATATTCTACTCTCCTTGTGACCTGTCCTATTTTTGTCAATATTCCACTCTCCTTGTGACCTGTCCTATTTTTGTCAATATTCCACTCTCCTTATGACCTGTCCTATTTTTGTCAATATTCCACTCTCTCCTTGTGACCTGTCCTATTTTTGTCAATATCCCACTATTTTTGTCAATATTCCACTCTCTCCTTGTGACCTGTCCTATTTTTGTCAATATTCCACTCTCCTTATGGAATGTCCTATTTTTGTCAATATTCCACTCTCCTTGTGACCTGTCCTATTTTTGTCAATATTCCACTCTCCTTGTGACCTGTCCTATTTTTGTCAATATTTCGCACTCTCTCCCTGTGACCTGTCCTATTTTTGTCAATATTCCACTCTCTCCTTGTGGCCTGTCCTATTTTTGTCAATATTCTACTCTCTCCTTATGGCCTGTCCTATTTTTGTCAATATTCCACTCTCTCTCCACTCTCTCCTTG